AGCCGCTTCATTTCAAGCTAGCCAGAGCCCTCCACTGCCATGATAGTCAGGGCTTCACCGGTCTTGTCTACTGTGACTTCTGGTTGTTTCTATATTTATTTTTCAATAGACTGTGTGGGGTACTTAGTGGTATATGTCTCTTTAAATTTGGATTAGTGTTTCCAAAATGGTGATATTTTGAATGTCACATGGATCAAGGCATTAAAACGTCAGATTTCTATCCCTGCCCCCATTCAAGTACCAATGCTATTGTAAACGGGTATAGTGCCTAAAAATTGTATGAGAATCCTTTTAATCATTTTAATCCAGATGTTTAACAAATCTAATCTCTTATTCTAATAAAAATACTGTCAACTTTAAGGGATGGAAGAGGTGTGTTCTTTTGTGATAGGCTATTTAGTTTCTCTAGTATACAAGAAGCAGTCTTGTCCTGACGTCATGAAGGAGGCGGCTGAAGGCTGGTTCTCCATTGTCCCACACTGTGAACAAGTCCACTGCAGTGCACTCATGGGGGGTCCCTGCAGGCTCAGTCTTTGTGCTGATTCTTTTCACACAGCATCCTCAGTGTGATTTATAATCACTTTGCCTGAACCTGTGAGCAGAGCCCATCCTTTCCTAAAACAAGAGCTGAGCTGGAATCCAGGTACTGGTGTCTATAATCTTAGTTACTCAGAAGGCTAAGTTCTGAGGATCACGGTTCAAAGCCAGCCTGGGCAGACAATACAAGAGACTATTACCTCCAGTTAACCAGCAAAAAGCCAGAACTGGCACAAAAAATACTTGGCTGGAGGCACAACTCAACTGAAAGAGCTCGGAAGCCAATTGTGTGCTGAATAATAAGAGACCTGAGTTCAATTCCTGGAATCAGCAGAGAGAGAGAGAAAAAACCCTAGCTGTATCTCAAAAGCTGTGGAGACTCCACAGTAAAAGTAGGTACTCAAGGTACCTACCAAATTGTTTCTATTCTAAAAATGAAACAGATATTTTTATGAATGTATTGCATATACACATACTTTGGTTTAATCTCTTTCAAAGAAGAAAATGAGCTGGGTGCTGGTGGCTCACACCCACAATCCTAGCTTCTCAGGAGGCTGAAATGTAAGGATCAAGGTTCAAAGCCAGCCCAGACAGGAAAGTCTATGTGATTCTTATCTCTAATTAACTCCCAGAAAACTATGTCAGTGTGGCTCAAAGTGGTAGAACGCTAGCCTTGAGCAAAAGAGCTTGAGGACAGTGCCCAGGACTTGAGTTCAAGCCCCACAACTGACAAAAAAAAAAACAAGAGAAGATGGATAGACAGACTCACAGGTCATCGTGTAAAGAAAAAAAGGGCAGCAGTGTCAGTGGAGAAGCGTGACAAAGCCAGCACTGAGCTGGGCACATTTCTCTCCCTAGAAAGGTATTGTTGAGTGGTGGAAAAGGGGAAAAAATTGCTCAGTGCCGCTTTTTTCTTCATCACAGAGGTTTGACTTAAGGGGCCTGCACTCTTCCCTTTGTGATTTCATGGCAGGTGCTTTGTCACTGGAGCCATAGCTCCACTTCTAGCTTTTCCACTGGTTAATTAGATAACAATCTTTTGGACTTTTTTTTTCCTTTTGCCAGTCCTGGGACATGAACTCAGAGCCTGGGCTTTGTGCTCAAGGCTAGCACTCTACCTTTTTTTTGTTTTTTTTTGGTCAGTCATGGGGCTTGAACTCTGGGCCTGGGCGCTGTCCTTGCACTCTTCAGCTCAAGGCGAGCGCTCTACTTCTTGAGCCACAGCACCACTTCCAGGTTTCTAGTGGTTTATTGGAGATAAGAGTCTTATGGACTTTCCTGCCCAGGCTGGCTTTGAACCTGAACCTCAGATCTCAGCCTCCTGAGTAGCTAGGATTACAGGCGTGAGCCACCGGCGCCCGGCCGCACTCTACCTCTTGAACAAGCCACAGTGCCACTTCTAGCTTCTTGAGTAGTTTTTTAGAGATACGAGTCTCATGGGCTTTCCTGCCCAGGCTGACTTCAAACTGCATTGCTCAGATCTCAGCCTCCAGAGTAGCTAGGATAACAAGAGTGAACCACCAGCACTGGGTTGCTTGGACTTTGACTTTCCTGCTTGGGTTGGCTGTGAGCTGTTGGCATCTGGAAGCCACTATTTAATATTAGAAAAAGGAGAACATGAGGAAGTCAATCTAGACTTCTAATATAAACCACTCAGCTCTTTGGTGCTCATTACTTTAAAAACTGAATCTTGGGGCTGGGAAGGTGGCTCAGTGGCAGAGCACTTGCCTTGCATGCATGAGGCCCTAGGTTCATTCCTCAGCACTACATAAGCAAAAAAGAAGAAAGCCGGAAGTGGCGCTGTGGCTCAAGTGGTAGAGCACTAGCCTTGAGCTGAAGAGCTGAAGGATAGCACCTAGGCCCAGAGTTCAGGCCCCATGACCGGACCCAAAATAAATAAATAAAATAAAAACTGAATCTCACCTGGGAATGTGGCTTAGTGGTAGAGTGCTTGCCTAGCACTCATGAAGCTCTGGCTTGATTCCTCAGTTCCACATACACAGAAGCTGTCCTTCAGCTCCTCAACTCAAGGCTAGCGCTCTACCACTTGAGCCACAGCGGAACCCAGGACCTCATGCATGCAAGGCAAGCGCTCTACCACTGAGCCACCTTCCCAGCCTGAGTGCTAGTCTTGAACAAAAGAAGGTCAGGGGTAGTGTCCAGGCCCTGAGTTCAAGCCTCAAGACTAGCCAAAATAAATAAATAAATAAATTGAAGCCAGGTGCGAATGGCTCACGCCTGTAATCCTAGCTACTAAAGAGGCTGAGATGAGGATTGCAGTTCAAAGCCAGCCTGGGTAGGAAAGTTCATGAGACTCTTACCTCTAATAAACCACTGACAAAACCAGGAGTGGTGGTGTGGCTCAAGCAGTAGAGCACTATCCCCAGAGTTCAAGCCCCATGACTGATACAAACAAATAGAATCTCAAGCCAGGTGCAGGTGGCTCACACCTGAATCCTATCTACTCTGGAGGCTGAGATCTGAGGATCCCCAGTGTGAAAGCAGCCAGGCAGTCTGTGTGACTCTGTCTCTAGTTAATCACCAAACAGCCAGATGTGGTGTGATGGCTGTAGTGGTAGGGCACTAATCTTGAGCAAAAAAAGCTTAGGGACTGCACTTGGGCCTTGGGTTTAAGCCTCAGGACTGGCACCCCTCCAAATTTTTTTTCTTCAATACACTTTTTTTTTTTATTGTAAAGATACTATACAGAGGGTTATAGTTACATGAGTGAGGTAATGAGTACACTTCCTCTTGAACATTGTTACCCCCTCCATTGTTTTCCCCCTACCATCCCTTCCCTCCCTACCTTCCCCGAGGTTCTTTTTTTTTTATTGTGATTAAGTGATTACATAATTTCTGGAATTTCACAGTATTGTGGAATAATGATGCTCATTTAAAGTCACAAGTTCATTCTAACTTTCCTGGAGCAAATTGTCTATCATGGTCTATAACATATAACGGTGTTTACATGTTATACACCATACATGTGATCAGCAGCATGGGGATATTTAGTAGTGGTTCAACCAGATGAGTGGGAGTTCTTTGTTTCTTAAATCCTGTTAGTTTTGTCGTATCACCTAACATTTTGGATTTAGCATCTACTTATCAGGGAGACCATGTACCGTTTGTCTCTTCACTCTTGGCTTACCTCGCTCAACATGATTCCTTCTAGCTCCATCCATTTCCCTGCAAATTCAATACACTTTTTTTTTGTTGTTATTGGTGGGCTTGAACTCTGGGCTTGGGCGCTGCCCCTGCACTCCAGCTCAAGGCAAGCACTCTACCGCTTGAGTGACAGTATCAGTTCCGGTTTTCTAGTGGCTTATTGGAGATAAAAGTCTCACAGATTTTGCAGCCTGGGCTGGCTCTGAACTGAGATTCTCAGATTTCAGCCCCTGAAGTAGCTAAGATTACAAGCGTAAGACACAGGCCCCTGGCCTTATCTATAGTTTCTAAGTTGTGCAAGCAATGTTTCAAACTAAATAAGGTAACAGCTACACCAGTTTCCAAGGCTGAGGTGTCAGTAGTCTTATGTGGCCACACCCTTTCTTCTTTGTCATCTTTCTTTCCTAAACTGTAACAAGGACTCTAGGCATGCCTTTCACTGATTTTCTTTTTTTTTTTTTTTCCGGCCAGTCGTGGGGCCTGAACTCTGGGCCTGGGTGCTGTCCCTCAGCTCTTCAGCTCAAGGCTAGCGCTCTACCACTTGAGCCACAGTGTCACTTCTGGCTTTTTCTGCTTATGTGGTGCTGAGGAATCGAACCCAGGGCCTCATACATGCAAGGCAAGCACTCTACCACCGATACCTTCCCAGCCCTGATTTTCTTAAAGAGGGAGGAGGCACTGCTAATTGGGAAGGCCACTTGTTTTTATTAAACGCCACCCTTTTTGCAAATGCCAGACTTTTGTTTTTGTTGGCTGGTGATGAGATTTGAGCTGGGATTCTGGGTGCTGTCCCTGAGCTCTTTTGCTCAAAGCTAGGACTCTGCCACTTTGAGCCACAGCACCACTTTTGAGTGGTAACTGGAGACTGAGTCTTATGGACTTTTCTGCCACAGCTGGCTTTGAACTGTGATACTCAGATTCTGAGCAGCTATGATTACAAGCATGAGCCACCAATGCCCAGCTTGCCAGGCTTTTTCAATATATTTCATAGGAAAATTTACGGTTTTCTTGTGTGCTTGGACGCCGGGCCTCATTTCTCTCTCAGCTTTTCTGCTCAAGGCTGGCTATGGCTGTCTGACACCCTACCACTTGAATCACACCTCCAGTTCCAGCTTTTTGCTGGTTTTTTACTGATAAGTGTCATAGACTTTTCTGCCTAGGATATCTTCCAACTGTGATCTTTGGATCTCAAGCCTCCTGGATGGCTAAGATTATAGGCATGAGCCATTGGCATCTAAAAAAAAATTTCTTTGGATACAGTTCCTGAATCTGATCACAGACCACACTATCCAAACTGCTCAGTGTTAAGAGACATGGAATTATACAATTTCTATCAGTAACTTTTGTCAAAACATTCTGAAGCTTGAGTTATTGATGGAGCTATTTGTACAGTTCCACACTTTCAGTTGGGTCAAAGGGCCATGGGCAAGATGATTTCTTTGAAAAGAGAAAATGCCTGAGATGTACACATTTAATTCATGTAACTGACCCTGGCTTTCATTCCCCTTAGGAGTCAGATTCCTCTTCTTCCTCTTCCACATCTTCATCCACCACATGGCTCCTTGTGCTCAGCTGCAACGCAGTCTGGTTGATCGATGCTTCGTTGTCTACATGCATTAACATCTGTGAGTGAAAACATAGATGAGGAGGAATAATATTGGTCTCAAGACAGGAGATTCAGGCTAGGAGCTTTTTTTTTTTTTTTTTGGGGGGGGGGGGTCTAGTCACGGGGCCTGAACTCTGGGCCTGGGCGCTGTCCCTCAGCTCTTCAGCTCAAGGCTAGCACTCTACCACTTGAGCCACAGCGCCACTTCCGGCTTTTTTCTTTTTGCTTATGTGGTGCTGAGGAATCGAACCCAGGGCCTCATGCATGCAAGGCAAGTGCTCTACCACTGAGCCACCTTCCCAGCCCCTAGGCTAGGGGCTTTTAACTCAAAGCACAGCACTTGCCTAGCAAGCTAAAGGACCTGGCCCTAGGTTTTACCAGAATGTTAGGATTTACAAACATGGTTCTTCTAGAAAGCTCTAACAGAAGAATTACACATATTATCAAAAATGGGTCAATTGTCATATTTAGAAAAGATTTTACTGACTTCTTTGATGGCAAAACTTGTTAATTGAGAGATGAGAATTCAGACTCATCTTTTAGCACTGTTTTTTAGCTGAATTCATTTTTTTTGTTTTGTTGGTTGTGGAGCTTAAACTCTGGTTCTGGGCGCTGTCCCTGAGCCTCTTTGTGCTCAAGCTAGTGCTCTACCACTTGAGCCACTGTGCCACTTTCAGTTTTTGAGTGATTAATTGGAGATAACTATCTCACATGGACATTTCTGCCCAACCTGTCTTTAAACAGTGATCCTCAGATCACAGCCTCCTGAGTAGCTAGGATTATAGGTGTGAGCCACTAGCACTTGGCTAGCTGAATTTATTTTTTAAATTTAGAGAATAGTAATTTTTGTAATCATATGTATGTATGTGTGTATATATATTATATATGGCTTTATATATTGAATATAGTATACCCTTATACAAGTAGAAAAAATATTTAGTATTTCAAGACCAATTTGTGTCCAATACCAACTCAGATAGTAAACTGGGATAACTCCTTTTTTCCAAAGCTGACATCACAGTTAAAGTTTCACAAATTTCAAATTATATAAATGTACATAAAAACACCAGTAACAGCAATATGTCATTCAACAGTAACAGCAATGGCTTGCAGTTTCTGCTGTCATTTGACAAAATTCTAGACATTTGGCATACTCCAGTAAAAAAGAAAAAACAACAACAACAACATGAAGTTAGGCACAGTCCACTCATGTCTGTAAACCTATATATTCAGAAAGCTGAGATCTGAGTATCACAGTTGGAAGCCAACCTAGACAGAAAAATCCATGAGACTTTTATCTCCAATTAACTACTAAAAGAGCTGGAAGTGGAACAGTGGCTCAAATGGTAGAGCATTAGCCTTGATCAAAAGTTCAGGATTGTAACCCTTTTAAAATTATATAAAAAAACTTTAAGTAAAAATATCTCAGTGTACAGCAAGGTCCTATTATTGTTGTGGTACCTGGCACCACTGGGGGGGGGTGGGGGAGGTTATTACTGACATTTTTTTTTTTTTGTTGATGGTGGGGTTTGAACTCTGGGTTTGGGTGCTGTCCCTCAGCTCTTCAGCTCAAGGCGAGCGCTCTACACTTGAGCCACAGCGCCACTTCCGGTTTTCTAGTGGTTTATTGGAGATGAGAGTTTCACAGACTTTCCTGCCTGGGCTAGCTTTGAACCGTGAACCTCAGATCTCAGCCTCCTGAGTAGCTAGCATTACAGGCATGAGCCACCAGCGCCCAGCTGACATGTTTTTCTTTTTTTTGTTGGTCCTGAGGCCTGAACTCTGGGCCTGGGCACTGTCTCTGAGCTTCTTTTTGCTTAAGGCTAGCACTCTACCACTTGAGCCACACAGCACTACTTTAGGCTTTTTCTGTTTATGTGGTACTGAGGAATTGAGCCCAGGGTTTCATGTATGCTAGGCAAGCACTCTACCACTAAGCACATTACCAGCCCATTACTGACATTTGAACTGAGCCTTATGCTTGCTAGGTTTGCTTGTTCAGTTGGCACTCTTTATCACCTGAGTCTCACCTCCAACCAGGCTTTTTGCTGGTTAATTTGAGATGGGGTCTTGTAGACATTTTTGCCCAGGTGGCTTTGAACCTCAATACTCTAGGTCTCTAGCTCTGTTTTCTTTCGTGCTAGTGCAGGGACTTGAACTCAGGGCCAGGGCACTGTGTCTTAGCTTTTCCCCTCAAGGCTGGTGTTCTACCACATGAGCCACAGTTCTATTTCTGATTTTTTTTTGCCAGTTGTGGGGCCTGAATCCTGTGCCTGGATGCTGTCCCTCAGCTTTCAGCTCAAGGCTAGCATTCTACCACTTGGGCCACAGCGCCACTTCTAGCTTTTTCTGCTTCTGTGGTGCTAAAGAATCGAACCCAGGGCCTCATGCATGCAAGGCAAGCACTCTACCATTGAGCCACCTTCCTAGCCCATATTTCTGATTTTTTTTGATGGTTAATTGGAGATAAAGTCTTGGATTTTTTTTCCTGCCTGGGCCGCCTTCAAACCCAGGTCCTTAGATTTCAACCTCCTAAGTACTAGGATTACAGGTGTGAGCCACTAGAGCATAGCCACTTTTTTTTTTTTTAATTAACTCTGCAAGCATCACTTGGAAAGAAAACATTCTAGAGCAGCATCATTAAAGAGTTCTGTTAAACTTACATAGCATAAAGCTGGAATAAAATTCAACAGATTTATAATATAGTACATTTTCCTACATCTAGATTTCTATAGGATAAAATTTAAAAGGCATTGATTGATGCCACTTTTTCTAGCAGAAGACCAAAATATGGCAGGACACAGCTTTGTAAATGAAAATGTACTTTCAAGCTTGAAGCTAGTGGTTCATGCCTATAAACCTAGCTACTCAGGGGCTGGGAATATGTCTTAGTGGAAGAGTGCTTGCCTAGCATGCATGAAGCCCTGGGGTTCAATTCCTCAGTACCACATAACCAGAAAAAGGCAGAAGTGGTGCTGTGGCTCACGTGGTAGAGTGCTAGCCTTGAACAAAAGAAGTATAGGGACAGTGCCCAGACTGTGAGTTCAAGCCCTAGGACTGGCAACACACAGACACACAGACACACACACACACACACACACACCCCTAGCTACTCAGGAGGCTGAGATCTAAGGACCACAGTTTGAAGCCAGCATAGGCAGAACAGCCCAGCACTGGCACAAAACAGAAAGGAAAAACCACAGGGCCAGTTCTAATAGCTTATTAGACCTGAGTCCCACAGGTTTTCCTGCCTGGGCTGGCTTCAAACCATGATTCTCAGATCTCAACCTCCTAAAGCTAGGACTGCAGATGGAGCCACCAGCACTTGGCTTTGACCTCACTTATTTTTGAGTCTTACAGATTACTCACAAAGCAAGTTATTCCTAGGTAAATCTCGTCTCCCTAGGGTTCATCTGAGTGGCTGAGGTAGTAAAAGTATAACCAGTTTGGAGGAGGGTGGACTATTAACAACTGCATCATAGACTAACGTGGAGTAGCCGTCTTATTAAATTTGAAACTTGTTTGAACTTACATCATGTGACTGTTCAGGTACAGGATGAGAAGGTGGCATCTCATCCCCTCTTCTACAATTGATCATTGACTGGAGGGCCAGTTCTTCAACCTAGAAAAGAAGAGCTGAGGTCACTTTGCTAAGAGTACTTTGCCAGGCTACTGATGTAGACAAATTTCTGGCTGGCACCATGAAAAAGGATTGAAAGCTCTCATCTCTGTGTGAGGGAACTTTTCATTTTCCCTGACTTTTACAGAGAAGCAAAGACTCCAGCCCTTTTCCTTTGAACTGTACAGATCTTCCAACTAAGCCACAGGTTTCCAATTCCCCAGACCTAGCAATCTGGGAGGAAACACCACATGTGCCAATGAAAAGGTGATATTCTCTGGCTCCAAAAGACAGCTGAATTTCCTAGGTGTGAACCTGATTACTCAGTAGAGAAAGTGAAAGCAGAAAGAAGAGAAAATGGCAGAGGCAACAGGGTATTAGGGGGGTGAGGTCTCATCAACACATAATCATTAGATAATTGTAGAAGTTACAATATGTTGCGGTGCAAATCACTGTAGGCTATTACAACTGCCTTAATGAAAACTGATTATTTTTGCTACGTCTCAAGTGCTTATAAACCCTTTTCTGTTTACAAAGGGCTTTTGGTAACTCTGGTGTCATTTGGACTTAAAAGAGGTGGTCAGGATCATCTCCCGGGGACGGAGTGACCCCAGGGGGTAACCCAGGCCTTCCTCCTCGACCAGCCCTGAGAATGCCAGAAATGCCAGTCTCTGGAACACGTTCCTCTCCCCGCCCTGGGTTATTCCAGTGCATGGTGGGGAGATCTGCAGAATCCCTTCTAGCTTTCCGATATTAGGTGCCTATGCAAACTAGAAGAGAGTGGCTCAGGAGCAGGAGGGCGGGCAGGGAGCAGGTCTAGGCTGACCTGCGGGAGGGCCCTAGGCTTGCACGCGGGCAGGGCTCGCGGGGAGGAACTGTACTTGTCAGAGACTCCTGGGTCAGCCCAGAGCTGCAGGATGGAGGCTCTGAGCGGAGCGGGAAAACAATCGCGGAGCAAGTTCCCCGGGAGATTCAGCTCCAACGAGTTCGAAGGACGCCAGGTCCGCGGCACTAGGCCAAGTGAAGGCCAGAAGCCCCGGCGGCGTGCAGCGGCCGGCGCACGGGGCTGGGCTCACCTTGAGGCGGTTCAGCTGGTCGTGAAGGGCGGCCTTTAACCGAAGCAGCGTCTCCTCTTCCTTGCGCAGCTCCTGGAGGCGGCTAAGCATGGCCGCTGTTTAGAAACCCCGCCGGCTTCCCGTGGTCGCTCGGCGATGACGCCATAGGCGGGCGCCGGAAGCGCACCGGCCCAGCAGCCATTTTGGAAGGGACTTTGACTGTGCGCGCTATTATCTAAAGACAGGAGATCATCGTTAACGGATCAAAACGTTTTAAGACCTCTACGCTTCAAGAAGCGCCCAAATGCACACGGAACACGACGCTAGAGCCGTCTCCGGTTTGTTTTTCTTTCCCCCGACACCGTTTCCCCAGCGAAGCTAGCCAACTCCTGTGACTCGTGAGCGATTGCAGCTCACTTCCGGCGTGCCGGCGTCACCCGCCGGCGCTCGTCCGACGACGGGAGCGCACCGCCACCCCAGTTCCGGCTTTGAACTGCCGCTTTCTTCCGCCTCCGGAAGGATGGGCTGAGAGGCGGGACTTCACTGCGCGAAAGCACTGGGTGGCGGAGCACAGAGCACCACCTAAAGGGAAAGAGCCAAGCTGGACCCCAAATTCTGGGTCACAGAAATAACAAGAAATTGAGTAAATGGCCAGGCACCGGTGGTCACGCCAGTAATCCTACTCTGGAGGCTGAGATGTGAGGATCGTAGTTCAAAGCCAGCCTGGCCAGGAAAAGTCCATGAGACTCAGATCTTAATCACCAGAAAGCCAGAAGTGGCACTGTGGTTCATGTGGTAGAGCTAGCTTTGAGCTTAAGAATTCAAGACCCACAACCAAACAACAAAAAAAGTAAATGTGGCTTTACACTGGGAACACTTTTTTTTTTTTTTTTTAACAGTAGAAATTGTCCCTAAGGCTGATCTATTTTATTTTTTGTTTATTTTTATTTTTGCTTATGTGGTGCTGAGGAATCGAACCCAGGGCCTCTAGCATGCAAGGCAAGCACTCTACCACTGAGCCAACTTCCCAGCCCCGGGAACACTTTTTTGTACCAAGTTGGCTCTGGAAACACCAGGGTGCCATCTAGCCAAGGAAAGCTAATGGATAGGGAGAAGTTGTGAATAGTTCACGTATCCAGCAGGCAAAACTGATTTGTAGGCAACTCCAAAATGCTATCTTGTGAGGCCCCCTCACTTCCTTTGAGGGAGGGGGACACACACACAAAAGAAGTGCCTGATGGATTTCATATTTTAACTATAGGGATGGGAATGTGGCTTAGTGGTAGAGTGCTTGTCTAGCATGCACAAAACCCTGGGTTCGGGCTGGGAAGGTGGCTCAGTGGTAGAGCACTCACTGAGGCCCTGGGTTCGATTCCTCAGCACCACATAAGCAGAAAAAAAAAAGCCAGATGTGGCACTGTGGCTCAATGGTAGAGCGCTAGCCTTGAGGTGAAGAGCTGAGGGACAGTGCCCAGGCCCAGAGTTCAGGCCCCACAAAAACAACAACAAAAAAACACAAAACCCTGGGTTCCATACCTGTTATCACATCAACAGAAGCAATATGTCTCAAGTGGTATTTGTATGTTGGCCTTGAACAAAATAAACTCAGGGACAGCTCCTAGGCCCTGAAAATTCAATTCCCAGGACTGGCAGCAACAAAAAATAAAAAGTAGTAATAAAAACCAGTAGAGCATAAATCCATGCTCCATTTAACACCAAACTGTAATATAGGGGGAAATTAAAGACTAGAATTAGGAAGAGGTATTAAATTGTAAGGAAAATTCACAACACACCCAAATGATGTTTCTCACTGCATCTTTGATCTGGTCTTTATTCAACTAAGCTGTCCCATATCATGACCTTTATATAATTAAACAGATTGTAATAGTTTATGCAGCAGGCTTCTTCTCTTCTGTGGTAGCTTTCTTTTCAGTCGTTGGTTTCTTTTCAGCTGGTTTCTTGGTAGCAGCTGCCTTTTTCCCCACAGGCTGCTTCTGTTTTTTAACATCAGCAGCCTTCTTTCCTTTCTTACTCACCGCGGGCTTCTTCTCTCCAGCCCTCTTTTCTGCAGCGGCCTTCTCATCTAATTTGGCTGCCAAAGCTGCTGCTTTCTTCACTCGGATTTTGTGCTGCAACAGATTAGCCAGAAAAGTTTAAGAATCTTTAAAAACTAAAACACAAACTAGCCTTGCTATATCACTAGAAGCAATGTATCACTTACATTTCTTGCCTGGCGAAGAATGGTGTTTCGGCGCATGGTCTTTGCGTATGGGTTCAGTTTCAACATGATTCTCAGGTTTTTCAGTGGGTTCTTCTTCAGGACTCTGCGAATAATCTTCTTGCTATAAAATCAGACAAGTTTATCAACATTTTATGTACATTATGTATATGCTTAAAGAACTAAGTTTCAAGTGTGAGAATTAGGTAAATCAACATCAACTTTACCGTGGTGCTCTGAGGGCTCTTTGGATCTCCGGGCTTTTCAAGATTCTGCTGAGGTCTGTATTCAACATCTTGTGCATAGGAAGGCTGAATGAAAAAGATTGAGAACAGATGCCTAAATTTTCATGAAAGTAAGTATCAAGTATTTAGTCTTTGACCAGCTTATTCTCTGGAACTCAATTTCTATCACATTATCATTTCTAATAACAAGGATCTACACTTAAGTGTGTTGTTTTGCAAATAAGAGAATGAAGTTATTCTTTTTAGTGAACAAATGAAACTCACTTATAGTTACTCTTGAGGGAGGCAGCTTTACGCCAAGTGCCGTACAATTCATCCAACTTCCGGAAAGCACTTTCAGTCCAAATGCAGAAACGTCCCACATGACCACCAGGAGCAAGTTTTAAAATGTTCAGTTTGCTGACATTAAGCAAAGTAATTCCTTTTAAACAAAAAGAAGAATTAGGAGCCCTGTATTTCCACACAATAGAAATTTCTAGTTTATCATGCTATACTAAAGATCTCAGAACCAGTTAGCCAGGAATCAGAACTTCCACAAAATCATGCATTTCAGAAACACGGACCATGAAGTGGAATCTCATCATAGTGAAAGCTGAGCAAGCTAGCATGGAATAGGTGGTAATCAAAATATACCACAAGGATTACCAGGGATGTTTCTGAAGGCCTTGATGATTCCATTGTCTTCATTATAGATGATGCAGGGGCCCTTGCGCTGGATCCGCCTGCGGTTTCTCATTTTGCCCTTGCCAGCTCTCATTCGCTGAGAGGCATAGACCTACAGAGTGAACCGTTTTAGGAATTGCAAAGTCTCTTCAACAAATTGGCAATTAAAAACACATTTCAACTTTATGCATATTCTTAATGACATGCCTTTGTCATTCCCTAAATAAGACAATAACTATTTACATACCACCCACACAGTATAATCTAGCAATGTATTGTAGATTATATTCAATTGCCTCATTTTATCTTGGATACATGAGCAATTGAGGATCTTATGAGGGACTTGTAACCAATGCAAAATACTTCTCTTGATGGTTACAATGTATACTGTATGTACTTATCAAGGAGGACGTTGCAAATGTGCATATTAAACCTACCTTCTTGATGTCATTCCAGGCTTTCAGTTTCTTAAGAAGCAAAACAGCCTCCTTGGTCTTCTTGTAACCCTCAACTTTATCTTCGACCACCAAAGGAAGTTCAGGTACTTCCTCAATTCGATGACCTGACAAAAGCCAATCCAACACTAGTTATTCTGCTAAAAACTTTATACATACATTCTACCAAAGCAAAATGGCTAGAAATCTGCCAAGATCAGAATTTCCACAAATATCATGTGTTTCAGAAACACGGACCAATTAAGTGGAATCTCATCATTTTGGCCAGTATGCAGGCAATTATGAACAAGGTTTAGAAAAAATAGTGTTTTGTACCAACACTATAAGAAATATTATAGCCAGGTGCTGGTGGCTCACTCTACTTGGGAGGCTGACATCTAAGGCCCATGGTTCAAAGCCAACCTGGGCAGCAAAATGGGTGAGGTGCCATTCTCCAATAAACTACTCACAAAAAGCCTTTAGCAAAAGGTCAGGGAGAGAGCCCATGCCCACAGTTCAAGCCACAAAACTGGCAAAAATAACTATTACAAACCTTTAGACATGACCAATGCTGGTAAGGCTGAGGCGGCCAGGGCAGAACAGATGGCATATCGCTTCTGGGTTGTGTTCACTCTACGGTGCCAACGACGCCAGGTTTTGGTTGGTGCAAACATGCGACCTCCTCGACACATCTATTTACTGAGTTAAGAACTACAGGCAAGGAATTTGACTTAGTGGTAGAGTGCTTATCTAGCACACATGAAACCCTGGGTCAGATTCCTCAGTACCATGTAAACAGAAAAGGCTGGAAGTGGCGCTGTGGTTATGGCAGAATTCAAGCCTTGAGCAAAAGCAGCGCAGGGACAGTGTCCAGGCCAAGTTCAAGCCTCATGAGTGGCAAAAAAACAGAACTACTGTACACTGTGGTATAGTTCTGGCTCATGTAGTAGTGACGGCCTCAAGCTAAAAGCCAAGTGAGTGTGGGAGTCAGTCAAGTCTGGTACTGTCATAATAAAAATGGTTCTCTCTGATTTTGGAAATAAAGTTATGCCTTGCTCAGTAACAATTTTCGTCAACCTTCTGAACCAGCTTACTGACAGCAGGCAACTGTCGCCAAGAACAGAGTAAGACGCAAATTACGACATCATTGCAGGCAAACATGTAAAATGAAGCCTTTTCTCTAGGAGACTAAAGAGAATGTCTTAATCCCATTCGTCTACAGCAATGTTTACTAGGTGTACTTTGGATCTAAATTTGCTTCAAAATACATTAATATGAATAAAGCAGATCCAGCCTGGTAAGTTCCATAGAAAGGTGATCAATGTTCATAGTGAAACAAAGGATACATTTCCAAAGGCACCCTGGCCAGAACGGTGGGTACCACCACCTCGAACTCTGGGAATACGAGCTACGGCTCTGCCTGTACCCCAAGACTCAGCACTGGTCTGATGACCTAAAATTGGGAAGAAATAGATACGTTTTAGCTACTTAAATTACACTAACCTATGACTTACTACACATGGTAACAACCAGCGTCAGAATATCCAAAAAAATCATGTGGTTCAGAAACACGGACCAATGGAGTGGAATTTCATCACTACTGTAATGAAGCTCAACAGTACCAATCCATAGGGGAAATAGGAACAAATCCATACCTGCTAATTCACTAACAGCATAAGGCTGCCTGTTGTTTTTACGCAAATTGGTATGAACAAAGTTCACAATATCTGGTCGAATAGGAGCCTTGAACACAGCGGGTAAAGTGACATTTTTGCCAGATGACTCCCCCTTTTCGGAGTACACTGATATCAGGGGACGAGCACACGCCTTGAGGAGGGAAAAAAAAAAAAAAGACATTACTTCTTTGATCTCCCATACAAGTACACTCGACTGTCCCTTGATGACTGCCTTAAGTTCTCACCCTTAAAGCTCGACTTACCATGATTCTTCTCATCTCCTTCAGGTCACTCTAGTCAGCTGAATGCCTAGAAGTCCCTATAGCTACTTACTGTAACGCAACGTCAACTACCTTTGGTCCAATTCAACTTTGATCACTGCATAAGGATAACTACATCTTATTCTGTTCCTGTCTTCCAGGCCCAGGCAGTAAGTCATCCTATGTATCATAAAGTCACACCGAGTTAGCTGACAGAGTCAGACACTTAAGAGACAGAGAGCAGGAAAACTAATCTAAGCAAATACAACAACCAGAAAGCACTTTTATTTAAAATCCAAAGTCGAATAAAGATAAACACTCAACAACAACAATGCAAACATTCTTTCCCCTTTATCAAACCCCTCCCATAAATGAAGGAAATATACCTTACTGGGCAGCACGTGAAGCTACAGGCCCCAAGTAAGACTGGCCTTCAGCCTCCCGCCCCTAGCTGCGTGTCCAGGCTGCCTGTGGGTTCCATTCCTAGTAAGAACCCAAGTCCTCTAAGATTCCCAGACAAGGCAGGATCCTACAATTCCTCAGAGCCGCGCCGCGCGCTCCCGGGGCGCTTCCGGGCGCGTCCGGTGCCGGGACTCACACGTTGCCTCTAAAATGGCTGCCGGGCTGCCGCACACCCCGACTGCCCAGCAGGAACAGACGCCTTCAGGCCTCATCTTCTCCCCACTCCTGTCCCTATAGCTTTTAGGTCAAGTCTCTGCCCTTCCCTACGAACCCCAGGACTGGACGAAAAGGCCCAGCGAAGGTAGACCTCCACTCACCATGGCGGGGAGAGGAGAAGGCCACGCTCCTCTCGACCCGGCGGCTCCTACAGGAAAAGGAAGTGCCTACCACTCCCACTCTATATGTAACCCTCAGCCCGCCCCCCACACCCTGCCCCGCCTCGGAACCAACACGGAGACCCCAAAACACCTATGCACCACACCCAAAAAATCCAGAAGCGTCCCATTTATGTAAGTGCATGAGAGTATCTCTTTATTTACTTTCCAAAGTTAATCATGAGGCTTAGAGAGAGAGGGACTACTTGTGGCGGATCGATCCGTAGGAGGGCGTGGCCAACCCTCAGGAGCCGAGTGGATCCTTTTCTAACTCACAAGTACGCCGGGTTTCTTCTTTCAGCTCGTTTCTCACGGGCAGAGTGGAAGAGGGGTCAGACTAGGAAATAACACTGAAGTGATGAAGACAACGACTTTCTAAAGACACGGGCCGACACCCGGACCGTGGTGTGAAAGTAGTTCCGGCGGGGCGGGGTCGCGGCCTCTGTCCGCGGCGGCTCTGGCGCCAAGTTCGGTTTGGCGGCTCCGGACCGGAGTGAGGCCGGGGTCGCCATGTGGGCCGGGAGGAACCGAGCGGCCCGGGACTTTTACACCCGCCTTCTGCAGTGAGTCGCACTCTTACTGTCGATCCCGGGGTCCTTGGGATAGCGCTTCTCCCTGTGGGCATCCGCAGCCCGTCCCTCCAGGTCTTTTGCCAGGCTCGAGGCGGGCTCGCTGCTCGGGTGCGGGTTGAGGCCTATCCAGAAAAACAGAAGCACCCTAGGTTTTCATAGAGGTGAAAGGTGGCTCATCCCGCAGACGCGCACACCCGTGGAGCGGAGGCAGCCCCCAGGATGGAGGCGCGCTTCCCCTGTGTATTCATTTGTCTTTGGCTGACGATCATCGTTTGTAATGGTGATGAGATGGGCATGAGGGTTTAAAGGGGATGGGGGGGGGGTTATTCTGTTAAGTTCTGCATTCTAGGTAAAAATCGAGCTCAGTGGTTCTCAAGTTTGAGCGTGCTTCAGCCTCACCTGAAAGCTGTCAAATCCCAGAGTGCTGGACTCCACCTCCAGGGGGTTCTGATTTGGTGGGTTCGCAGAATTGTCCTATCTGATTCAAGATAGAAACTATGCTGTTGAGACGTCGCAGGTGAAGCACTACAGATGGGAAGCCTGTTATTTTCTAAATGGCACGTGTGTGCGTGTGTGTGTGTGTGTGTACCAGTGTGCCAGTCCAGGGCTTGAACTCAGGGCCTGGGTGCTGTCCCTGACATAACATACATACATACATTTGTTTATCTATTTTTGTTCACGTGCTCTTCCTCTTGAGCTACAGCTCTACTTATAGCTTTTTGGTAGTTAATTGGAAATAAGAGTTTGAAGGACTTTTCCTGCCCAGGTAATTTTCTTCTACCGGAGATCCTCAGGTCTCAGCTTCCTGAATAGGGTTACAAACACTGCCAAACTAAATGCCTCAATTTTTCATTGTCGCTTTTTTCTTCATTTTTTTTTTTAAAGAAACAATGTCTTTGCAGCCTATAGGCCTCTATCTAGTTGTTTTTAACTGCTACATAGCATTCTATGATTGTTTTATGTTTTCTTTAGCCCCCCCCATTGATACAAGTGAATACTTACCTATTTTGTAAGTGTTATTAGTCTTTGTCTCCACCTGTAAGCACCAAGTTTCTTTTACTTCTCATATTGTATCCTTCAGTGTCTGTGTATCCAGTTGCCTACTGAAAAAGTTTTACATGGAATCTCAAAGTCACAAGAGTGGCATACTCTTTCCTTCCTAAATTGATATTTTACTGCTGAATTCTGTCTTTGAGTTAAGAGTTCTAAATTTGAAGCTGAATTCCAGTGGCTTATGCTTATAATCCTAGCTACTGAGGAAGCTAAGATCTGAGGATCTCGGTTCAAAACAAACTGGGTAGAAAAGTCCTACCAGTGAAAGTCAGAAGCAGAGGTGTGGCTCAAGGGTAGAGTGCTAGCCTTGAGTGAAAAAGCTAAGTGACAGTGTCCAGGCCTATAGTGAGTTTATTTTTTTTTTTATTTTACTTATTTTTTGGGTCCGGTCGTGGGTGCCTGAACTCTAGGCCTGGGCGCTGTCCCTCAGCTCTTCAGCTCAAGGCTAGCGCTCTACCACTTGAGCCACAGTGCCACTTCCGGCTTTTTTCTTTTTGCTTATGTGGTGCTGAGGAATCGAACCCAGGACCTAAGGCATGCAAGGCAAGCGCTCTACCACTGAGCCACCTTCCCAGCCCAGTGAGTTTAAGTCCAATACTGGCACAAAAAATAGAGAGTTCTATATTTAAGACTTCAATTTCCTTCTCTTTTTGTTCTCCACTTCTCCCCCTCACCAATTCAGTCTTGTTCTTCCTTACTGTTCTAAAGCTGGCCATTATCACTTCTCCAACATGCTTCAAGTTATTTTCCTGTACTCTAAGTTACTTCAGTTTCATATTACAAATAGCAAGATCTGTCCCATTAAGGATCTTTTATTAAGTTCTGCTGGTCTTTCAGGATAAAATTCTAGATCAATAGCTAAATCACCACTACAACAGCTCATCTCTGTCAGAATGCTCATTACCTTGGGCTGGGAAAGTGGCTCAGTGGTAGAGTGTCTGCCTTGCACGCATGAGGCCCTTGATTCAATTCCTCAGTACCACATAAGCAGAAAAGTCCAGAAGTGGCGCTGTGGCTCAAGTGGTAGAGTGCTAGCCTTGAGCTGAAGAGCTCAAGAGTTCAGAAGAATGCTCATTAAGAATGCTCAGAGTGGGGCTGGGAAGGTGGCTCAGTGGTAGAGTGCTTGCCTTGCATGCCTGAGGCCCTGGGTTCAGTTCCTCAGCACCACATAAGCAAAAAGAAAAAAAGCCAGAAGTGGCTCTGTGGCTCAAGTGGTAGAGCGCTAGCCTTGAGCTGAAGAGCTGAGGGACAGCGCCCAGGCCCAGAGTTCAGGCCCCAGGACCGGACACACAAAAAAAAGAATGCTCAGAGTTCAGGAAGAATGCTCATTACCTTAACAGTGTTATTTGATATACCAATACCAAGCAAGAGTGCCTGGTGTATAAGTACATATGTAATAAAATGATCTGTCAATATCCCTGAATTAAAGGCAAAAGACAACTTACAGTCTTGCACATTCTGGTAAAGATGAAAGAATCACAGTCCTGTTTTCCTGTTCAGTAGGTCATAGATGATATGAAAGAGCTATACACATGGTATCCTGAAACAATTCCCTTGAGTGATTGTAAGGATATTTTTCTCTGTCAGTGTCAAGTAAACGTGTGCATTTGAGTATTGCATCTTAACATGCTAGTAATTTATATTTATGCTTTGAGATCATTAGTAAAAACTTCCTTTTTTTTTTTTTTTTTTTTTGTGCCACTATTGGGGTTTGACCTAGATGCTGTTCCTGAGCTGTTTGTACTCAAGGCTAGCTCTCTACCACCTGAGCCATAGCTCTACTTCCGACTATTTGGTGGTTACTTAGAGATAAAGAGTCTTACAGACTTCCCTGGCTTGTCTGGTTTTGAACCTTGAGTCTTAGGTCTCAGTCTCCTGAGTAGCTAAGATTACAGGCATGAACCATCTGTGCCCAGCTTAAAATTTTTGTTGAATCAAACAATAATTATTGGATGATGTCCTTAGAGTTTTCTACTTTGTATGTGGGGGGGGGGGGTGTACTGGGATTTGAACTGGGCCCCATGCTTACTGGGCAGGCTCTCTACCACTTGAGGTACTGACCCAGTCCTTTTATTGTTGGTTATTTTCGAGCTAGTTTTGCTGTATGCCTGTGCTAGCCAGAACTAAGATTTTACTACTTGTATTTCCTTTGTTGCTGGGCTGATAGTTGCGTATCACTTACTGTACTCAGTCATTGTGTTTCTCCTGTAGCTTGGGGTGACACACATGTTCCCAAGCCATTGGTTGAGATGGTGTCTCATGAACTTTTTATGCCCCAATGGCCTCAAACTGTGATTCCCCATTGCATGCTGTGATTTACATTTCGTTAAAAAAAAAAGTCAAGGGGTGACATCCAAAAAGAAATGTACTCATTACCTGATTTACGTAACCATAACCCTTCTGTACATAACCTGTATAATAACAATAAAAATGTAAATTGAAAAGATTATTACTGGGGCTGGGAAGGTGGCTCAGTGGTAGAGCGCTTGCCTTGCATGCCTGAGGCCCTGGGTTCGATTCCTCAGCACCACATAAGCAAAAAGAAAAAAGCCGGAAGTGGCTCTGTGGCTCAAGTGGTAGAGCACTAGCCTTGAGCTGAAGAGCTGAGGGACAGTGCCCAGGCCCAGAGTTCAGGCCCCACGACCGGACCCAAAAAGAAAAAAAAAAAAGATTATTACTGGGCTGGGAAGGTGGCTCAGTGGTAGAGCACTTGCCTTGCATGCATGAGGCCCTGGGTTCAATTCCCCAGCACCACATAAGCAAAAAGAAGAAAAGCCAGAAGTGGTGCTGTGGCTCAAGTGGTAGAGTGCTAGCCTTGAGCTGAAGAGCTGAGGGACAGCGCCCAGGCCCAGAGTTCAGGCCCCACAACTGGACCCCCCCCCCCAAAAAAAGAGATTATTGCTATAGGTATTTTATGTAATATAATAAATATCTCAAACATGTAAAAATATTCAACATAATCACTGTTATTTTTCAGTAATAGTTAATAAAGTGAAGGATAAATGCTCAATCTTAAGGATTGAGACCCTTTATCACTTTTACTTTCCAAAATCATATAATAAATTGCACTTTCATATTAACTGGTGATGTGTTGAAAAGAAACAAAAATAGGGGTTTGACATAATATCTTGCTACTTTTATGAAATAATTGTATCCAATTGGCTATAGTCCAGTATCTATCACAAATCTGTTTTCTCATTTCTTCGTCTTTGTCATCATCTTCTTCCTGTACCTCAGCTCTTCAGCTCAAGGCTATCACTACCACTTGAGCCACAGCGCCACTTCTGGCTTTTTCTTCTTATAGTCTGCTGAGGAAGCGAACCTAGGGCCTCATGAATGCAAGGCCAGCACTCTACCACTGAGCCACCTTCCCAGCCCTCTCATTTCTTCTTAACCTAAATTCTCTCCCGTCCCCCATGTCTTAGCGCTGCCAAAAGTAATTTGCTTTTTTTTTTTTTTTTTGTCGGTCCTGGGGCTTGAACTCTGGGCCTGGGCTCTGTCCCTCAGCTCTTCAGCTCAAGGCAAGTGCTCTACCACTTGAGCCACAGTACCACTTCCGGTTTTCTGGTGGTTAATTGGAGATAAGAGTCTTATGGAATTTTCTGCCCAAGGATGGCTTTGAACTGCCATCCTCAGATCTCAGCCTCCTGAGTAGCTAGGATTACGGACACTCGGCAGTACTTTGCTTTTTACTTTGACATGCAGACATGAAATGCTGGCTAACTTCTGAGTTTAAATAGTAGGACAGATAATATAGCTCTATGCTTCACATGTGGTTCTGCATTTCAGGGAATTTAATGAAGAAAAGAAAGGAAGCTGTAAAGACCCATTTGTCTATGAGGTATGAGCCATTCGTTTGGTTGTTAGACAAAATTCACTAATGCTAAGTTTGTGGGGTTCATTGAAGTTACCCTTTTTGGGTATAGCTCTATGAATTTTGCCTTTTAGCAATGTAATGACCCTTAATGAAGATATAGAATAGTTCTTTCATCTGTAAACATTTTCTCACGCCTTCTATTGATCAGCATTCACACTGTGTAGGCTCTGGTAAATGCTGATCTGCTTGCTTTCTTTGCAGAACATCATATAAATGACAAATGCATATAGTTTTTTGAGTTTGGCTTTTCTTTTTTTTTTGCCAGACTTGCACTCAGGGCACTGTTTCTGAGCCTCTCTGTGCTCAAGGCTAGCATTCTACCACTTGAGCCACAACACCATTTCTGGCTTTTTCTGTGTATGTGGTACTGAGGAATGGAACTCAGGGCTTCACGCATGCCAGGCAAGCACTCTACCACTAAGGAGTTGGACTTTTTTTTTTTTTTTTCCAATTAATGTATTTGGGATTTATCGATGTTTTGTGGTAGTTCTTTTCTTTTTTTTCTTTTTGCCAGTCTGGGGCTTGAATTCTGGGCTTAGGCACTGAGTTTCTTTTGCTTCTTTTGTTCAAAGCTAGCACTCTATCACTTGAGACACAATGCCACTTCTGCTTTTTCTGTTTATGTGGTACTGGGGAATTGAAACCAGGGCTTTATGCATGCTAGGCAAGCACTCTACCACTAAGCCACATTCCCAGCCCCTTAATGGGTAATTTAAAAAAAAAAAAAAAGAAGTTTTAAAGGCTCTCTTTTGTGTGTAGATGGGGCTTGAACTTAGGGCCAGGGTGATGTTCCTTAGGTTTTTGCTCAAGGCTGGCACTCTACAACTTTAGTCACAGCTCCAGGTTTTTGGTGTTTAATTAGAGATAAATCTCACCTAAACCTCTCTTCTGAGGCTGGCTTTGAACCTTGATCCTCAGATCTCAGCCTCCTGAATAGCAAGGATTAGAGACATGACTGAGCTAACCTTTTTGAAAACGAGAAATAACATGGACAAAAAAAAAAAAAAGAAAGAGAGAAGAAGAGAGAAAGAAAGTAATGAAGCCAGGTGCTCATGGTTCACCCTTGTAATCCTGGCAACTCAGGAAGCTGAGATATGAGGATCGCCATTTGAAATCAGCCTAGGCAGAGAAGTCCATGAAACTCTTATTTCCAAGTCACTACCCAAATACCAAAAGTAAAATTGTAGCTCTAACCCTGAGTAAAGAAGCTCAGAGACAGTACCCAGACCCTGAGTTCAAGCCCCAGGGCCAGCACAAAAAAGAAAGAAAGAAAGAAAGAAGTAAGTAAATAAATCTTATTTAAAACATGTCTTATTCATAGCTGGGTGTCTGTGGCTCACTCCTGTAGTTAGTCCTAGCTATGTAGGAGGCTGAGATCTAATGATTGAAGTCCATAGCCAGCCTGGGCAGGAAAGTCCTTGTGAGACTCTTATCTCCAATTAGCCACTCAAAAAACTAGAAGTAGAGCTGTGGCTCAAAGTAGTAGAGTGCAAGCCTTGAGTAAAAGAGCTCAGGGACAAAGAACTCAGGCTCTGAGTTCAGGCCCCATGACTGCCAAAAAGAAAAAGAGAAAAAACAAACATGTCTTGTTCAGATTCCCATTTCCAATCACTTCTATATAACTGGCCTTTAATAATGTTTAAATATTCTATAAATGTATATTTATGTGTACATCTAACCTTGCTTCACATTTGCTTTTTAACAGGGTGATATCCAAGTGCAGTTGATCAGCAAAGGTCAAGCAAATCCTCTGAAAAACATTCTAAATGAAAATGAGCTAGTATTCATTGTGGAAAAAGCGGTAAGGAGTCCTTAGGCTTTGTAGTTTTTTGTTTTTTTTTTTTAACTTAGTTTTTTTGTGTGTGTGTTCTGGATCTGGGGCTTGAACTTAGGGCCTGGGTGCTATCCCTGAGTTTCTATGCCATCTTCACTTCTAGCTTTTTTTTTTTTTTTTTTTTTGTCAGTCATGGCGCTTGAACTCTGGGCCTGGGCGCTGTCCCTCAGCTCTTCAGCTCAAGGCGAGTGCTATACTGCTTGAGCCACAGCGCCACTTCCTACTTCTAGCTTTTTGACTGTTAGTTGAAGATAATAGTCTCATAGACTTTTCCTTCCTAGGCTGCCTTCAAACCATGATCTTCAGATCTCAGCCTCCTGTGTAGCTAAGATTACAGACATGAGCCATGAGTCTTAATTCTTGATAGCTATGTTTGGTTCCTTGAAAATAATCTCAAACATACACATTTTTCTATCAGATTTAATGCAAGTGGATACTAATTTTAGTAATGAACACATGGATTGTCTAATAGAAATACAATTCAGCCATTTATATAATTTTAAATTTTGTAGTAGATTCATTTTTTAAAAAGAACCAAGTGGAATCATTACTAAGTTGACTTATTTCTTTTTGTTGCCTAGTTCTGTGAGTTTTTTGTTGTTTTGGTTTGGTGGTTTTTTTTTTTTTTGTCAGTTGTGGGGCTTGAACTTAGGGCCTGGGCACTGTCCCTGAGCTTTTAAGTTCATGGCTACCATCCTACCACTTTGAGGCACAGCGCCATTTCCAGTTTTCTGGTGGTTAATTGGAGATCAGAGTCTCACAGCTTTCCTTCAAGGGCTGGCTTTGAACCGAGATCCTCATATCTCAGCCTCCTGAGTAGCTAGGATTGTAAGTGTGTGGCACCCAGCTTGTGAATGTTAATACATTCATAGAATCTTTTTTTTTTTTTGGTCAGTCGTGGAGCTTGAACTCTGGGCCTGGGCTCTGTCCCAGAGCTTGAACTCTGGGCTCAAGACTAGCACTCTACCACTTGAGCCACAGCGCCATTTCCAGTTTTGTGAGTGGTTTATTGGAGATAATAGTCTCACAGACTTTCTTGCCCTGGCTGGCTTTGAACCATGATCCTCAGATCTCAGCCTCTTGAGTAGCTAGGATTACAGGGATGAGCCACCTGCACCCGGCTATGCATAGAATCTCGGAATCACAGTTGAAGTCTCATCTCTACTTCCTTCCAGCTCATCCTTTATAATCCTCTGCCCCTAACTGCTGGCAGCCAGTACGTGATCTCTTCTCCCTCACTGTAGTTTGTGCTTTTCAAGAGTGCTTGAAAAGCACACACATGTTTGGTACTTGTGAGATCAAGTAATGTATATATAACCTGTGTGTGTATGCGTGCACGCGTGCCATTCCTGGGGCTTGAAATCAGGGCCTGAGCACTGTCTTTGAGCATTTTTTGTTGTACTCAACGTTGGCACACTACTACCTGAACCACAGCTCCACTTTCAGCTGTTTTGGTGGTTAATTGGAGATGAGTCTTGTGGGCTTTTCTACCATGATCCTCAGATCACAGCCTTGTGACTAGCTAGGATTACAGCTATGAACGACTGGCGCTAGTTTAACATATAATCTTTTAAGTGTGACTTCTCAAAAGACATGTTTGGCACTTGTGAGTAGAACTAGCACACATTCTTTTTGTTTGCTTGCTTATTTTTTTGTCAGTCGTGGGTCTTGAACTCTGCTCCTGTTGGCTGCTCCTCAGTTCTTCAGCTCAAGGCTATCACTCTACCACTTGAACCACAGGGCCACTTCCGGCTTTTTCTGCTTATGTGGTGCTAAGGAATTGAACTTAGGATCTCATGCATGCAAGGCAAGCACTCTGCCATTGAGCCACCATACATTCATACATTTTTTTTATTTTTTGGTCTAGTCGTGGGGCCTGAACTCTGGGCCTGGGCATTGTCTCTCAGCTCTTCAGCTCAAGGCTAGTGCTCTACCACTTGAGCCACAGCACCACTTCTGGCTTTTTTCTTTTTGCTTATGTGATACTGAGGAATCGAACCCAGGGCCTCAGGCATGCAAGGCAAGCGCTCTACCACTGAGCCACCTTCCTAGCCCACATTCATAAATTTTTGTTTATAGGGTTTTGTTTTTTGCCAGTCCTGGGGCTTGAAATCAGGGCATGGGCTCTATCTCTGAGCTTCTTTTGTTGAAGGCTAGCATTCAACCGCTTGAGCCATAGCATCACTTCCAGCTTTTTCTTTTTATGTGGTACCAAGGAGTCGTGCCCAGGGCTTCCTGCATGCTAGGCAAACACTCTTCCATTAAGCCACATTCCCAGCCCAGTAGGTTTTTATTTGAGTACATTCAGTGCCCAAATGTCAACTTTGCCACTTAGTGGCTATCTTTGTGATTCTAAGCCAGTTATTTGGCCTTTGGTAACCTAATTTTCTGTTTATAAAATAGGTAATTGTTTCTGTATTAAGGCTTTATGAAGATTAAAAGTAACTTAGAACAATGCCTAATACATAGTAATCCTCAAAAAAAGTGACCTTTTGCAGGTTTTATTATTGTTACAATTAGTGGTAACAATTAGTGTTGCTGTTTTGTAAAGGCATAGATAATGAGAACCTTGTAACACCATTGAGAGGTGGTACTACTAAGAAGACTGGATGTCAGAAGTGAGGGTCATGGCTAGACATGGTGATGCACACCTGAAATTCCAACACTTGGGAAGGCTAAGGCAAAAAGATCTCAAGTTCAAAGCCAGCCTGTGCTTCACAGTGAGATCTTGTCTCAAAAAGGGGGGGAGGGCGCGATTTGGGGAACTGTGATCCTAAGGTGTTAAGGTGTGTCCCAGAAACAAGTCTTCTAAAGAGATATGAAGTCCATCAAAAGCTGAGATTCTCCATGGGTTTCCTTTGGTATTTTTACCTTTAGCTCATCATTTTGTAGTTTGGATTTCAAATGGTACCTTTATAAGTAGCAACTGGGTTGGGAAGATGGCTCAGTGGTAGAGTGCTTGCCTTGCATGCATGAGGCCCTGGGTTCTATTCCTCAGCACCACATAAACAGAAAAGCTGGAAGTGGTGCTATAGCTCAAGTGGTAGAGTGCTGGCCTTGAGCACAGAGAGGCTCAGGGACAGAGCCCAGGCCCTGAGTTCAAGCCCCAGGACTAGGAAAGAAAGAAAAGAAGAAAGAAAGAGAAAGAAAGAAAGGAAGAAGGAAAGAAAGAGAATAGTAGTACCTAACTTCAGCCTCTTTGTGGGAAGATGGAAATGCCTCTGATGGCAAGACTTATTGGTAGCAAACTAGCTTGTGGTTGTGATTCTAGTCCATGAGACAGTCATCTGTGCTTAGGGTTGTAAACATGAGTATATTTGTTCTCTTTGTAGCTGTCTATGCTTTAGGTATAGTGGCTCATGCCTGTAATTCCAACAGAGATCAGAAGGATTGTAGTTAGAGGTCAGCTGGGGCAAAAACTTAACAAGACCCCATCTCAACCAACAAACTAGGTGTGATAGTTCATATTTGTAACCCCAGTTACATAGGAGGCATAAGTAGGATTCCTGTCTGAGGCTGGCCCCAGACAAAACATGCAAGATCCTATTTGAAGAGTAATTAAAGCAAAAATAGTTATATATATGTATGTAGGTATATTTATGTGAGTATATATATTATATATATATATATATATATATACACTATTTGATGCATTCTCTTGTCTGCTTAAATAAATAAAAACATTATTGAAGCCTTTAGAAAAGGAAGAAACAAGTAGTATTGAAGAACCACAATCTGAAGAAACAGTTATTTCTAATTTTTCTACCGGTGAGAATACTGGACCCTTTGCTTTACCAGTTGGAAGAGCAAGGTAAGTTTTTTTTTTTTTTTTTTTTTTTTTTTTTTTTTAGTTTTTTGAGGTAACAGGATAGGATTTAATTGAAACATAAACTATGAAAACATGTTGCAAGGCTGTGTGTAGGGGTATATACCTGTAATCTCAGCTACTCAGAGGATTTTGGTCCAAGGCCACCCCCACAGAAACCTAAGATTCTTGGGCTGGGAATGTGGCTTAGTAGTAGAATGCTTGCCTAGCTATGCATGAAGCCGTGGGTTCGATTCCTCAGTACCACATACACAGAAAAGGCCAGAAGTGGTGCTGTGGCTCAAGTGGTAGAATGCTAGCTTTGAGCAAAAGAAGCTTAGGGACAATGCCCAAGCCCTGAGTTCAAGCCCCAGAACTGGCAAAAAAGAAAATTAAGGTTCTATCTGGATAGTAACTAAAGCAAAAAGGACTAGGTATGTTGCGTAAACAGTGGAAAGATTGTGAAGTTCTGAGTATAATCCCCACTGCTGGAGGGGAAAAAAAGAAAAAAGAAAAGAAGGAAAAACAAAAAACTAGGCATCTGACCTTCAATGATGGCCCCTTTGCTCCATACGTCTTCCTATCTGTTTAAGGGTGGCTGTACTTGCATGTCCCATAGGTATCTTGAATATGAGCCAGAAGACTGCCAAGTGATGGCTTTCACTTCCATTTTCCCCCATGTCTAATCTGGTTCTCCTCTAGTCTTTCTTAGCTTCCCCACCTTCCTCAAGATTGACACCTAGCAGCCTTCACTGGCACCTGAAGTCTTCTCCAGGGGACGCACTGGAAATGGGGACGAGTGTTTTTGTTATCATGTTAACCATAATAACAAGCCACTGGCATTTAGTGGTCTGGATTTTGTATGGCAAGGATTCTGCCATGCCTGGCTTGTCCAGCACAAGGGCTGATCCCATTCAAAGGACAGTGTGCTTCTGGTAGAAACCAGGTCCCTGTGGCTGCCTCTGCTGCTCCCCCTGCTGCCTCCTCTGGGAACCACATGCATTTCACTCTGCCTTTCCTCCTCCTCCCTCCATGCCCAAGTCTTGCCTCCTGCACTTGTAGAGGATGGAGTGACAAGCACTCTTAACACCATCCACAACCACTGTCCTGCTTATTTGCTTGGTTTTACTCTAGACATTTATAGTTGTTCTATATTGATAACCTTGTCACTCTTTAACTTCATGGCTCTTTGAATTTAAGAAATAATGTGGCCTGTTAGGCACCAGTGGCTCACGCCTGTAATCCTAGCTACTCAGGAGGCTGAGATCTGAGGATCGTAGTTCAAGGCCAGCCCAGGCAGGGATGTCCATGAGACTCTTATCTCCAATCAACCACCAGAAAACCGGAAGTAGCGTTTGTAGCTCAAGAGGTAGAGTGCTCGCCTTGAGCAAGAGAGCCCAGGAACAGCGCCCAGGCCCAGAGTTCAAGCCTCAGGACTGAAGAAAAGAAAGGAAAGGAAAGGAGAAAGAGAAGAAAATAGAAGTTTAATCCACATTTATTTGGAAAACTTTTTTTTTTTTGCCAGTCCTGGGGCTTGAATTCAGGGCCTGGTCACTGTCTCTGAGCTTCTTTGGCTCAAGGCTAGTGCTCTACCACTTGAGCCACAGCACCACTTCTGGAATCGAACCCAGGGCTTCATGCATGCTAGGCAAGCACTCTACCACTAAGCCACATTCCCAGCCCTAAAACACTATTTTCTAATTCACGTTTCCTTAGCTATCCCAGTAGCCACTGGCTTTGAGCTTCTTGTAGTGTGCGTGTGGGCTCCTACTCATTTTAGAATCAGCTAAGTACTCTGATTCCATTCCCTCTGACTTCCAGCCCTCCCCATGTTGAGCACCCTACCAGTAGTCCCTCCTGTCCAGTCACTGCCACTTTCTGGCGCATGCGCGTATGCACACACACACAAGACACACACGTGCATTTGTGTGTGTGTGTATGTGTGTGTGTGTGTGTGTGTGTGTGTGTGTGTGTGTGTGTGTGTTGACCAGTCTGAGGTGCACTGACCTGACCATATTTATACATCTTGCCACTTGATTTCCAGGTTGTATGAGACTAGACCCTTCATGGTATCTCTTTTAAAGGAAAAAATGGATATATTTTGCTGGTGCTGGGGATGGAAGCTGGGGAATTACACATACTAAATAAACATGAGCCACACCCTCAGTGCTGAAAAAATATGCTGGCTTAGTCAGCAAACTTAACCTTTAATTGTTCTTCTTACTCTTGTTTTCAAGGCAGTTAATTGGTCTTTATACCATGGCTCACAACCCTAATATGACCCATTTGAATATAAATCAACCAGCTACTGCCCTTCCTCCTCTTTGGATAAGATGTGACAGTTCAGATCCTGAAGGGACCTGTTGGCTAGGTGCTGAGCTTACCACAGCAAATGGCAACATTACAGGAATTGTCTTATATGTGGTCACTTGTAAAGGTGAGTGCCCACTTGTTTTGTTTTTGCTTTGTGTGTGTATGTGTGATTGCATAATTATTTTGTGGTTGGTTTATTTATTTATTTTTGTCAGTCTGGGGGCTTGAATTCAGGGCCTGGGCTCTGTCCCTGAGCCTCTTTCTGCTCTAGGCTAGCATTCTACCACTTGAGCCACAGTGCCACTTCTGGCTTTTTCTGAGTAGCTCGTGGACTTTTCTGAGAACTGTGATTCTCAGATCTCAAGCCCACCAGCACCTGGTTTATTTTGTGATTTTTATTTGAAGCTGATATCGTTTAACGGGAAATGTACATAGTGGGACATTTGTTAATTACACAAATCACAGGTGTGCAACTTGCAGTGTACAGAAAGTATCTCAGATGAAACACCAGGACGTCTAGACAGGTTATGTGTGTTTTCTTCAGGTTTCATTTGATGTGCATATATTTTGGAGAATTTTCATTAGAGCATAAAATAGCACAATAAATTGATATTAAATTCTAGTCTCACAGTAGGCATTCAGTTGTTTTTTGTTTTTGAGATAAGGGTTTGCTATGTTGCTTAGACTGATGTCTTAACTTCTGGCCTAAAGTGGGCATCCTGCCTCAGTCCCCCAAGTAGTTCAACTTACAGGTATACAACACTACGCTCAACTATCTAATTATATAGGCATATATATCTAATTATATGTACATATATTTTCTTGTTGTTTGTTTGAGATATGAAGCCCAGGCTGGACTTGTTCTCCCAATCCAGCCTCTAAAGTGCTGGGCTTATAGGTATGTATTACCATGCCTAGCTCTAACAATGTAGTTTTGAATTGTACCTTTATTTATTTCTCTTTCGTTTATGTCCTATAGCTGATAAAATTTACTCTGTAACTCTGGAAAGTCTAAAACATTCACACAAGAAAAGACATCACTTATCTACTGTAAGTTTTTCTCTGTTATTATTTTATTCAGACTGTTATTTGAGGTACCTTTTTAGTTTGAAATTTAGTTTTTTTTTAACCCCTAGTATGACTAAATGCTTTTCTGTTATGTCAAAATACATTGGCCAGTTGTGGTTGCTCGTGCTTGTAATCCCAGCTACTCAGGAGTCAGAAATAGGATTGCAAATGGAGGCCAGCCCCAACCAAAAAAGTTGCCAGAAGCTATTTCAACAAACAAACCAGGTGTGATTAATCTATGCCTATATTCCCAGCTACTCTGGAGGCAGAAAAAGGAGGATTGCAATCTGAAGCCAGCCTCAGGCAAAAGCACAAGACCTCTATAAAAAAACAAACTAAAGCATAAAAGAATGGAGGTGTTACTCAAGTGGTAGAGCACCCACTTGATAGTGTGAGGCCCTGTGATACACACACACACACACACACACACATACACACACCCCTAAAATATTTTTCATCTTAGCTAAGATATAGTCCTCTGATAGTAATAACAGAGCATTGGTTCCAGGACTCTGTTTAGGTACCAGAACCTAAAGATACTTAATTCCTTTATGTATAGTGGTATAATGTTTGCATTTAACCTGTGTATATCTTCCTTATACTGAAATTCTTCTCTAGATTACGTAAAGTGGCTAATACAGTGTAAATGCTTCATACTTGCTATACTCTAGTGTTCGGGGAACATAAAATTGCACCTTCAGTAGAGGTGCAATTTAAATGTGTATGCACACATGTGTGTCTATACATATATATTTAGTGGTACTGGCATTTGAACTCAGGATCTTGTGCTTGTTAGATAGGCATTCTCCCATTCAAGCTATACATCCAGTCTTTATTGCTATTTATCTATCTATCTATTTATTTATTTATTTTGCCAGTCCTAGGGCCTGAGCCTCTTTTGCTCATATTTGCCACATTCCCAGACCCACTTTTTAAATTGTTTATCACATGGAGGTCTTGTGTTTTTACCTTGAGCAGGCTTCAGGCAACAATCCTTCTATCTAAGGCCTCCCAAGGACCTAGGACCACAAGCATATGCCCCAGTGCCTGGCTTATTGGTTGAATGGGGTCTTGCCAGAGTTGGCCTTAAACCAGATACTAGTGTCTGCCTTCTGGGTAGTTGTTTGTAAGTATAAGCCATCTCCCCCAGTCTATGGTTGATAGACTCAATACATGTCGGACCCATGGATACAGAGGGCCACTATGTTTATAGGCTTCTTGTCTTATGGGTAATGTTGGTGATTTAAGAGAATTGTCTTCTTTTCCCATTTGGAATGCAAATGGAGTGTTTGTCTGATTTTGATCTGAGGACAGAGCTGCGGGTGATCTTGGCAATGGGTTCTTACCACATGCACATGTAGCTAAGGGTCTCCCGGGGATATGTTTTTCAGATAACAGCTGGAGGCTTTGCGCAGTATGAGCTCTTTAAGTCCTCTGTCTTGGATGATATCGTCATCCCGTCACAAACTATGATCACTTTGGATATTTCCTGGAGTCCTGTGGATGAAATTCTTCAAATTCCTCCGCTCTCTTCGACCGCAACCCTGGTAGGAGTGGACCTTGTTTTCTCATCGGGTCCCTCGGGTCCCTGTATGGCAGTGTGCATGCTTATTGCTGGTGCTGCCTGCATTAGCCCCGACAAGGAATGCTGACCTTGCCTCTGGGGCCTCAGTAGAGCGCCAAGGGAGGTGTGCCAAGGGAGCTGAGCTTCAAGTGCTCATAATCCATAAATACAGAATTTATTAATTTTCTAGTAGTTAATTCTTTATTCTTTGTGCCAGTACCAGGGTTTGAACTCAGGCCTGGGCACTGTCCCTGAGCTTTTCTGCTCAAGGCTGGTGTTCTACTTGAGACACACTTCTACTTTTGGCTTTTTGCTAGTTAGTTAATTGGAGATAAGATTTTGCTGGACTTTCCTGCCTGATTGATTTTGAACTGTGATCTTAGATCTCAGCTTCTTGAGTAGCTATGGGTATAAACCACTAGCACCAAATCTCCAAAAAACTGGAAGTGGTGCTGTGGCTCAAGTGGTAGAGTGCTTACTTTGAGCTGAAGAGCTGAGGGACAGCGCCCAGGCCCCCATGACCAACAAAAAAAAAAAAATGAAAAGAATGCAAATATCGGGATTGGGAAGGTGGCTCAGTAGTAGAGTGCTTGCCTGGAATGCATGAGGCCCTGGGTTTGATTCTTCAGTACCACATTAGCAGAAAAAGCCAGAAGTGGTGCTGTGGCTCAAGTGGTAGAGCGTTACCCTTGAGCTGAAGAGCTGAGGGACAGCACACAGGCCCAGAGTTCAAGCCCCACGACTGACTTCCCCCCCCCCAAAAAAAGAATGCAAGTATTACAATAATACTAAACCTGTTTACTCTACATTTATCTAGGAGTATATCTTAACAAATTAGGCAGAATTGGTAATAAAAACTTATGCATAGGATACTTAATGCAGCAATATAGCCCTATTTTCAAAGTATTAACAACAAAGTGTGACTGTTTGTAGAGAAATGATTAAAGTACATTTCCCTGGTGAAATTTGACACAAGCTCTCTGTATTTTTGTGGTTGTTCTTGAGGGCCTCAGGATTGCTAGGCAAGTACCAGGCTTTATAATATCTGTTCTGCAATAAAAGGAAAATAATCAGATATTCAAAATACTATGTGTTTGAATTTCTTTGGGAATCTAATAATATAATTTGTATGTGAATCACCTCTGACCTGCTTGGTGTTAACACTGGTTTCTGCCCTATAATTACATCTTTTATGCTTTTCTTTCTCTTTATTAGGTGTTTACATACATTGATATTTTCTTCTTTTTTTTCTTTTTTTCTTCTTTTCCAAGGCTGAACAGCAGAATGTCCCTTTGCCCTCTGGCTACAGTAGTATGCTGTTGGCTTATTTAGATGTAGTGTAATAAGCAGATTGATTGCACTTTATTTTTGGTGGGTGTGACAATGCTTAGGTTATCACTGAGTTTTGAGGTGTGCTTATGCAAATTTCTCCTAGCTTGTCCTCTAGGAAATTCCATGGGGAGGTGGGCAGGAGATGTGAGGGGGGTGGTTGTTCCTTGTTCCCATGTAGACAGAGGGTGTGGTGGCCAGGATAAGGACTGTATCAGAATGGCTGCATCTGCTGATGAAGGGTAAGGTTTCCAAATGAGGTGTTGATATCACTTTAATTCATTGATGCTTTATGAAATGCATACTTCAATGTGAATCATTTTTGAAATGTAGAGAAGATGGAATAAGAATAAAAACTGACAAGGCTTTGGGTGCTTTTTTCAGAATATCAAAGTGGAATCAGGAGAGCTCAGAGGTTGTTTGAATCATCTTCACAGAGAACTGAAATTTCTCCTTGTAAGTACCATTTGGGAATTCCTGTATTTCACTTTCATGAAAATAGTTGCTTATGTAACTTTTACTTTATTCAAAATTTGTTTTCAATGTAATGTATTCATAAAATACTCGAGAACTGAGGCAGTTGGGCTGGGAAGGTGGCTCAGTGGTAGAGCGCTTGCCTTGCATGCATGAGGCCCTGGGTTCGATTCCTCAGCATCACATAAGCAGAAAAAGCTGGAGGTGGTGCTGTGGCTCAAGTGGTAGAGCGCTAGCCTTGAGCTGAAGAGCCTAGGGACAGTGCCCAGGCCCAGAGTTCAGGCCCACGACTGACAAAAGAAAAAAGAGAGAACTGAGGCAGTTTAATTTCATTTATATGACCATTGTCCTTCCAATTAAAGGGAGAATATCTATCCCCTGTTAAATTGGAGTGTGTATGGTTTTTACTCCTAAAACCCCACCTCCCAGCTGGTTCAGCTGCCAGTTTATTTCACATACATGTGTAGTCCATTATTGACAACTGGGATTTTGATTAAAGAATAAAGTACATGTTTTACCAGAAGTTTTATGTTTCAGTCATTTAGCTCTAACATTTCTCAAGAGAGATACATTTTTCATATCCTTTTATTACCGTAGAAATTCCAAATGTCCACCTGGAACGTGCAGCCAGGCGCATGCTGACTTCCCTTTCTTCTTTTGAATTTTATTTTATTTTTTTATTTTTATTTTTTTTGTTCCGGTCGTGGGGCCTGAACTCGGCCTGGGCGCTGTCCCTCAGCTCTTCAGCTCAAGGCGAGCGCTCTACCACTTGAGCCACAGTGCCACTTCGGGCTTTTTTCTGCTTATATGGTGCTGAGTAATCTAACCCAGGGCCTCATGCTTGCAAGGCAAGTGCTCCACCACTGAGCCACCTTCCCAGCCCTCTTCTTTTGAATTTTAGAGACAAATTCAGCCCATAAAATTTACTCATTTTTAGTGTGATGTTTAGTCAGTTTCTATTCACCTAGATTGTACAACCATCACTGTAGTTAACTAGTTAGTGCTTTATAACTTTATTGCTCCATAGCATTCCATTGTATGGATATACACCACATTTTGTTTACCCAAGCATCAACTGGCAGAAATTGTCGTCTCTAGTTTTAGGCTATCACAATGCTGTGGTGAATGATGTTTTCACCTCCCTTGAATAGAGTTGCTAGGCCATATAGTAACTAGGTTTAACTCCCCCCCCCTTTTTTTTTGGCAGTCCTGGGGCTTGAACTCAGGGCCTAGGCACTGTCCCTGGGTTTCCTTTTGCTCAAAGCTAGTACTCTACCAATTGAGTCACAGAAATACTTCTGGTTCTTTCTATTTCTATGGTACTGAGGAATCGAACCCAGGGCTTCATGCATGCTAGGCAAGCACTCTACCACTAAGCCACATTCCCAGTCCCTTAACTTTCTTTTTGTGGTGCTGAGGAATGAACCCACTATGTCACCCATGCTAGTTGTTGTTGGTTTGTTTGTTTTTCCTGTGATACTGGGGCTTGAACTTAGCGCTCCCTACTCTTCACATGGCTTTTTTGCTCAAGGCTGGCACTCTGCCACTTGAGCCACAGCTCCTCTGCAGGCTTTTTTGCTGGTTAATTGAAGATAAAAGTCTCTCAGATTTGTCTGTCTGGGCTGGCTTTGAATTGTGATCCTCAGAGCTCAACCACCGGAGTACTTAGAATTAAAGGCATGAGACATTGGTGCTAGGCAGAAGCTAAACTTGTTTTTTTTTTAATGGTTTTAAGATGTTCTGAGAATTCTGTGGACTGCTTCTCCCCTGTGGCTAGTCATCACACCTTCTTTATCTTACTCCATGCTCCTTTCTTTCTCTGTATGTCCTTACAGCTCAACAGCAACAGAAGCCTTACCTTGTTCTCCTGCCCTGTTTCAACCTGTCTCCACTGGTTGTTTTTCTGTTTTTTTGCAGTACTAGGATTTGAACTGAGGGACTCTTGTAAGGCAGGCATTCCACCACCTCAGTCCATTTTGGTTTTGTTATTTTTAGGCTAGGATCTTGCATTTATGTGTGGGCCGATCTGACCATGTGCCCCAGTTCTAGGATGACAGCATATGACCCTAAGCACTCAGCTTTTTTTAATGACTGAGATTGTCTAGGCTGCCCTTAATGATCCTTCTGATCTCAGCCTCCTTAGTAAACTAGGATTATAAACTTGAGCCACTGCACCTAACTTAACAACCTTTTGTCAGTTTTGCTTAGATGTCATACTCTGTGCATACATAGTACGTTATTTTTATGTGAATTTTCATTCAGTTCCACATTTGCCTTATTCTCATTATTTTGGCATCTTTGTGGGAAAACCCAGTATCACACTACTCTTGTAGTTCCGGTGTACTAAGAATCATAGTTTAGAACACCATGCTTAGACTCGGTTTGCTGAATGTATATCCTGGTACCATTCATTATTCACTGTGAAGCCTGAGCAAGTTGCTCAACCTCTCAGCTACAGTAAACTGAGGGTAATAGTATTATCTGCCTCAGAGTTTTGTTAGAATTTACTAGCATCCTATGTATAATGCACTTTAGCAATGCCTGTGTGTGTGACAATTAAGAAATGTCAGATGGGCACCGGTGGCTCACGCCTGTTGTAATCCTAGCTACTCAGGAGGCTGAGATCTGAGGATCATGGTTCAAAACCAGCCCAGGCAAGAAAGTCTGTGAGGCTTATTTTTTTTTTGTCAGTCATGGGACTTGAACTCTGGGCCTTGGGTGCTTTCCCTCAGCTCTTTAGCTCAAGGCTAGCGCTCTACCACTTGAGCCACAGCACCACTTCTGGTTTTCTGGAGATAAGTTTATTTATTGGAGATAAATGTCCCATAGACTTTCTTGCCCGGACTGGCTTTGAACTGCGATCCTCAGATCTCAGCCTCCTGAGTAGCTAAGGTTACATGCATGAGCCACTGGGACCCGGCTCTATGAGACTCTTTTCTCCAATTAACTACCAGAAAACCACAAGTGGAGCTGTGGCTCAGAGTGGTAGAGTGCTAGCCTTGAGTAAAAGAGCCCAGAGACAGGACACAGGCTCTTGAGTTTAAGCCCTACAACTGACCCCCCCCCCCAAAAAAAAAAGTCAAGTTAATTAAAATTATTTTGAATGTATCTTTATTGACTAAGCTATGTTGTCTGCTAATAAGCTTCTTGCTTTTTTCAATACTGTATAGGTTCTGGCTGAAGGTATGAAGACTGGTGTAACAGAATGGCTTGAGCCTCTGGAAGCCAAGTCTGCTGTTGAACTTGTACAGGAATTTCTGGATGGTGATTGCTTTCCCAATTCACTCTTGTCTGGTGTTTGCTTTTCTTTCTTTCTTTTTTTTTTTTTTTTTTTTTTTGCCAATTCTGGGATTTGAACTCTGGGCTTGGGCTCTCTCCCTAAGTTCCTCTTTGCTCAAGGCTAGCACTCTACCACCTGAGCCACAGTGCCACTTCCAGTTTTTTCTGGGGTTACTTGGAGATAAGAGTCTCATGGACTTTCCTGCCAGGGCTGGCTTAAAATCACGATCTTCAGTTCTCAGCCTCCTGAATAGCTAGGATTATAGGCAAGAGCCACCTGCTTCCACATGTTTACATTTCTTAATTGAGAATTTATACTTGTTGTATTTAAATATAAGTTGTCACTTTAAGCTTGGTAGGCTTTTTAGATGGGATGTATTAAAGCTGTGGTCTGAGTCAGGTGCTAGTACTGGTGGCTCACACCTATAATCCTAGTAACTCAGGAAGCAAAGATCTAGGATTATGGTTCAAAACCAGCCAGGGCAGGAAAGTCTGTGAGATTCTTATCTCCAATAAACTACTCAGAAAAGCTGGAACTGGAGCTGTGGCTCAAGTGGTAGAGCTTTAGCCTTGAGCAAAAAGAAGCTCAGGGATAATATCCAGGCCCAGAGTTCAAGCCCTAGATCTGGCCAAAAAAAAAACGCCAAAACTTTTGGTCTGACATAATTGGAGTGACAGCTAAAATACTACTAAAGTACTAATGATAGAGATCTAAGTAATTCTTTTTTTTTTTTTTTGGTGGTCCTGGGGCTTGAACTCAGGGCCTGAGCATTTCTATGAGCTTTTTTCACTCAAGGCTAGTGTTCTACCACTTTGAGCCACAGCACCACTTCTGATTTCCTGGTGGTTAATTAGAAATAAGAGTCTCAGGAACTTTCCGGCCGGGTCTGGCTTAGAACCACCTCAGATCTCAGCCTCCTGTGTAGCTAAGATTATAGACATGAGCTACTGGCACCCAGAGGATCTAAGTAATTCTAAAACTCAGTAAGGTTTTGTCTGAAAGTATATGACACATCTCTGTGTAAGAGTCCCAGGTATGCAAAGTAAACAGGACTCAAGAAACAAAGGACCTCTACTTAATTTGTTGTATCATTTCTAAATGACTCCATGTTCTTGCCCTCATATATTGTCTTTGTTTTTTGTTGTTTTTTTTGGTCTGGTTGTGGGGCCTGAACTCTGAGCTTGGGCGCTGTCCCTCAGCACTTCAGCTCAAGGCTAGCGCTCTACCACTTGAGCCACAGCGCCAATTCCGGCTTTATTCTTTTTGCTTATGTGGTGCTGAGGCATCGAACCCAGGGCCTCAGGCATGCAAGGCAAGCACTCTACCACTGAGCCACCCTCCCAGCCTATATATTGTCTATATATGCATGCTCATCTGAGGGAAGCTAGGAGGAGGGCACAGAACCAGAAGGAAATGGGAAAATATACGACAGAGGGGTCCATCAGCTGCACTGGACATCGATGAAAACGAACTAAGCAACATAAGGGCAGCAATGGGAGGGAGGGAATGAGAGGGAAAGAGGGAACAGCTTACACTAAGCAAAAGGAAAGCTACATATGACCGGATGTGGAAGAAATAGTTGTATTGTCAAAGCTCATAGAATTCACAAACTTTATAGACCATGATAATGACAATTTTCCCCATGAAGGTCAAAATGTTTGTGACTTTAACTAAGTATCTCTATCCCACAATGCTGTGAAATTTATGTAATCACTTAATAAAAAAAATTATTTAAGAGTCTGGGAAGGTGGTTCAGTGCTTGCCTTGCATGCATGAGGCCCTGGGTTCAATTCCTCAGCAGCACATAAGCAGAAAAAGCCAGAAGTGGCTCAAGAGGTAGACAGCTATCCTTGAGCTGAAAAGCTAAGGGTCAGTGCCCAGGCCCAGAGTTCAGGCCCCACAACCGACCAAAAAAAAAAAAAAAAGTGTCAGGGATGATTGTAGGGGGAAACTGACATTGGGTTAGTTTTCCTGCTGCCTTCATCCTCACACCCTGCCTGATGGGGTCTGTTACTACTTCCTCTGTGGAAGTCAGTGATTCTGTGATGTCCAGTCATGCTCCCGATCTATAATACTTGCAAATAGGATTAGGATGGAAATAATTGGGAAAGCAGAAATCTAAAATCAGGCTAATAAGCTTTTGGTACTTTCTAGACTTAAATAAACTGGATGGACTGGGTGATTCTGCAAAAAACGACACAGAGGTAAGTGGTTGTGATCAGTTAGAAATGTGTTAGTGGAATAGCTCCTGCAGCCTGGGCACATGGTCACCTCCAGTGTTGTATTCTCTCAGATGGATTGTTCAGTCACGTGTATTACTAGTTGCTATGTTGCAAAGAAGTAGGAGCAAGTGTGTTAATATGCTAGAAGATGGCATGCTGTTTTATTAAATTAAACTATTTATGGTCTCATTTGATGAAAACAGAAAAGGTGACAAAGGTAATTTTAGAAATATTTTCATTTTTAGGCATTATCGCTTTTTTGGTTTCTGTTTTGAGCCAAGGTCTTGCTGTGTATCTCAGACTCGCTTTGAACTTAGAATCTTTCTGCCTTAGCCTCACCAATACTGAGGTTATAGGTTTTCTTTTTTGTTTGTTTGTGCCAGACCTGGGGCTTGAGCTTAAAGCCTCAATGCTGTCCCTCAGCTCTTCAGCTCAAGGCTAGCACTCTACCACTTGAGCCACAGCTCCACTTCCAGCTTTTTGGTGGTTAATTGGAGATAAGAGTCCTCATGGATGCTGGGAGTATGGGTTAGTGGTAGTGTGCTTGCCTAGCATGTGTGAAGCCGTGGGTTCAATTCCTCGCTGCCATGTAAACAGAAAAAAGCCAGAAATGGTGCTGCTAGCAAAAGGCTAGCCTTTAGCAAAAGAGCTCAGGGACAGTGCCTAGGCCCTGAGTTCAAGCTCCAGGACTGGCCAAAAAAAAAAGAGTCCTCATGGACTTTCTTGCTAGGGCTGGCTTCAACCCTCAATCCTCAGATCTGAGCCTCCTAAGGAGCTAGGTTTATAAGCATGAATCACCAGCTACAGGTTTTTGGGGTGTGCGTGCGTGCGTGCATGCGTGCATGCGTGCGTGCGTGTGTGTGTGTGTGTGTGTGTGTGTGTGTGTGTGTGTGTGCTGTTGGTCATGGGGCTTGACTCTGGGCTTGCGCATGTCCTTGCATTCTTCAGCTCAAGGCGAGTGCTCTACTGCTTGAGCCACAGCACCACTTCCAGTTTTCTAGTGGTTTATTGGAGATAAGAATCTCACGGACTTTCTTGCCCTGGCTGTGAACCACGATCCTCAGATCTCAGCCTCCTGAGTAGCTAGGATTACAGGCGTGAGGTACCAGCGCCCGCCCAGCATCAACTACAGGTTTTTTAAGAGTTACTTTGTATGTGTTCCAAAATCCAAAATTTTCTCAGAGCCGCATTTAAACAGTGTTGACAATAGAAACTCCTTTAGTTTAAAAACAAGCTGAAGATTCTCTGCATTTGCTTCTTTTTCAGACAGTGAAGCATGACACAGCTGCAGTTGATCGGTCTGTGCTTATCACAGTGCGGGGCGATCTAGATTTTGCTGAGCAACTTTGGTGCAAAATGAGCAGCAGTAGGTACCATGGTGATTAGGCATTCCCTCTGCTTCAGTTTAGGAAGTAATGAACTTTGTTCTTCTGGTCTTATATGGGACTAGTGGTTTCTATTGTATTCATTGCTGGAGTGGGTTGGCATATTCTACTCAAGAGCTGTACAAAAAGCCAGGTGCCAGTGGCTCATGCCTGTAATCCTAGCTACTTGGGAGTCTAAGATCTGAGGATTGAGGTTTAAAGCCAGTCCGGGCAGCAAAGTCCATGGGACATTTATCTCCAGTTAACCACCAGAAAACCAGAAGGGGCACTGTGGCTCAAGCGGTAGAGTGCTCACCTTGAGCTGAAGAGCGGAGGGACAGCACCCAAACCCAGAGTTCAAACCCCATGACTGGCCAAAAAAAAAGAACTGTACGAAGACAAAACTGTAGTTTTCTCCTGCCTTTAAGAGCATAAAACTTAATTGGTTTATGCCATATTTATACATAGAACCACATATATATTAATAAAATTATAGTTAGAAGTTGGGCACTGATGGCTCATACCCATCATTCTAGCTACTCAGAAGGCTGAGAGCTGAGGATTGCAGTTTGAAGCCATTCCTGGCAGGAAAGTCCATGAGACTTGGATCTCCAAGAGCCACCAGAAAACTGGAAGTGGTGCCATGGCTCAAAGTAGTAAAATGCTAGCCTTGAGTGAAAACGGTTAGAGACAGCAGACAGCACACAGGCCCTGAGTTCAAGCCCCAGGACTAACCCCCTACCCTACCCCACCCCAAAAAAAGATTATGGCTAGATTTGTTGCCTTTTAGAAATCTTTTCACCATTTTCCATCCATGCAGTACATATTTCCATCTTCTTTTTAATGTATATATCCTTAAGATGAGTGGTATTGTTTGATCTAAAGAAACATGAAAATAATGTTAGGACTGATGTGTTTTTCCAGGTGTGATTTCATACCAAGACCTGGTGAAGTGTTTCACACTGATCATCCAGAGTCTGCAGCGTGGGGACATACAGCCATGGGTAGGTTGCACAGTCAGGAGGCTTTTTCTCGGTGGTAAAACATGCTGGGTATGCAGCGCCTGGGACAGACGGCCTGAGTTTGTTCCAGCCCGGTGCTTTCTAGCTTTGTAAACATTGGCAAGTTCCTTTACTTCTCTGTACCCTAATGTCATCATCTGTAAAGTGAGGGTAGGACTCATAACTTCTTTATATTATGGTTTGAGGATCAACTAGTTTAATTCATGTAAAGTACCTCCTTCCTGGAGCTTAGTTAAGTACTCAGGACATGTATGCTACAATGTTACCTTTATTAACTGCTGTGTAAATGAAAGTTTTTATCACTGGTGAGGATAAAAGCTGGGAGGGATCCTCTTTCTTTTTAGTTTGTTGGTTGTAGGACTTGATCTCAGGGCCCAGACACTATCCCTAAGTTTTTGTTTTGTTTTGTTTTGATTTTGATCAGTCTTGATTTTTCTGGTCATTTATTGGAGATAAGAGTCTCACGGACTTTCCTCCCCAGGCTGATTTTGAACCGGGATCCTCAGATCTCAGCCTCCTGAGTAGCTAGGATTACAGGCATGAGCCACCAGCCCCCAGTTCCCTAAGCTTTTTTGCTCAAGGCTAGTGCTCTACCACTTTGAGCTACAGCTCCACTTCTAAGTTTTAAGGGGTTAATCGAAGATAAGAGTCTCATAGACTTCCCTATCTGGGCTGCCTTCAAACCTCCATTCTCAGATCTCAATCTCCTGAATAGCTAGGATTATAGACATGAGCTACCAGGATCCTGATGGGATACTCTTTCTTTTCTTTTCTTTTTTTTGCCAGTCCTGGGGCTTGAATTCTGGGTCTGGGCACTGTCCTTGAGCTTCTTTTGCTCAAGGCTAGCACTCTACTACCTGAGCCACAGCACCACTTCTAGACTTTTCTGTGTATGTGGTACTGAGGAATCGAACCCAAGCTTCATGCATGCAAGGCAAGCACTCTACCATTAAGCCACATTCCCAGCCCTGGGATATTCTTTCTAAATATCGAGTTTGATGGTGCATTGGGATCCTTAGACTGTAGTATACCCTTTGAACTAGGACCCACCCAAAACTTGCACATAAAAATACATATTAGGGCTGGGAAGTTGGCTCAGTGGTAGAGCGCTTGCCTTGCATGCCTGAGGCCCTGGGTTCGATTCCTCAGCACCACATAAGCAAAAAGAAAAAAGCTGGAAGTGGTGCTGTGGCTCAAGTGGTAGAGTGCTAGCCTTGAGCTGAAGAGCTGAGGGACAGTGCCCAGGCCCAGAGTTCAGGCCCCACGACTGGACCCAAAAACAAACAAACAAACAATAAAAATACATATTAGACTAATCACTATAGTTTCTTGCTTAGTAGAATAAAGATGTAAACTAGGGCTGGGAAGGTGGCTCAGTGGTAGAGCGCTTGCCTTGCAAGCCTGAGGCCCTGGGTTCGATTCCTCAGCACCACATAAGCAAAAAGAAAAAAGCCGGAAGTGGCGCTGTGGCTCAAGTGGTAGAGCGCTAGCCTTGAGCTGAAGAGCTGAGGGACAGCGCCCAGGCCCAGAGATCAGGCCCCATGACCGGACCCAAAAAAAAAAAAAAAAAAAAAAGATATAAACTAAATTTCCCCCCACTAATGCAATGACTAAGTCAATAATGATATAATTTACATAATGGCATTTGTGATGGTTGCCAAAGCCGGTGCTGTAGAGAGAAGAAAGGCAGATACAAAATTGCTTGAAATGTAAATTTTGGGGGGAAAACATCTGAAAACAAATTTGCTATAATCTTAGTAGCAATCACGTATGGTAGAAACATAGAAGGCATTTTTCTCCAGCTGCATTATACCTTTTTAAATTTTTTATTTATTTTTTGTAGGTCGTGGGGTTTTAACTGTGTCCCTGAGCTCTTCAGCTCAAGACTATCATTCTACCACTTGAGCCACAGCACCACTTCCAGTTTTCTGGTGGTTAATTGGAGATAAGAGTCTCATGGGCTTTCCTGCCTGGGCAGGCTTTGAACATCGATCCTCAGATCTCAGCCTCCTAAGTAGTTAGGATTATGGGCATGAGCCACTGGCACCTGGCTTGCATTATACATAAAAACTTTTCCATTCCTGTTACTTTTGTCTGGGTGTACATGAGTTCCAGTACTGGCACTTGAACTCAGGGCCTGGGCACTGTCTCTGAGTTTTTTGTTTTGTTTTTTTGGTTGTGGGGCTTGAACTCTGGGCTTAGGTGCTGTCCCTGGGCTCTTTAGCTCCAGGTGAGCACTCCACTGTTTGAGCCACAGCGTCACTTTGGTTTTCTGGCTGGCATTGAACCACAATCCCCAGATCTCAGCCTCCTGAGTAACTAGGATTACAGTTGTGAGCTATCAGTTCCTGGCTGGCTTCTCTGAGCTTTTTTGCTCAAGGCTAACACTCTACCACTTGAGTCACAGCTCTACTTCTGTATTTTTGATGGTTAATTAGAGACAAGAGTCTTGTGGAAACAGGGTACCAGTGATTCACGCCTGAAATTCTAGCTATTTAGGAGGCTGGTGTCTAGGGATCATGGTTGGAAGCCAGCCCAGGCAGGAAAGTCCATGAGACTTTTATCTCCAATTAAACACCAAAAAAAAAAAAAAAATGGAAGTAGAGCTGTGGCTCAAGTGGTAGAGTGCTAGGCTTGAGGACAAAAGCTCAAGGGACAGTGCCCAGGCTCTGAGTTCAAGCCCCAGGACCAGTATAAAAAAAATATATATATATAGGGGGCTGGGAAGGTGGCTCAGTGGTAGCGTGCTTGCCTTGCATGCCTGAGGCCCTGGGTTCGATTCCTCAGCACCACATAAGCAAAAAGAAAAAAGCCGGAAGTGGCGCTGTGGCTCAAGTGGTAGAGCGCTAGCCTTGAGCTGAAGAGCTGAGGGACAGCGCCCAGGCTGAGTTCAGGCCCCACTACCAGACCCCCCCCCCAAAAAAAAAAATATATATATAATATATATATATATTATATATTATATATATAATAATAAAAAGTCTCATTCAGGTTACTTATTCATTCAGGGTACTAAGAATGCAAACTGATCATTTTTAAGTTGTAACTAATGCAGCTCTGTGCCTCTTTTGGGAGTTATCCTTATGGCCTCACATGCTCTTATTGTGACTAGCTCCACAGCGGGAGTAACAGCTGGCTGAGCAGGCTCATCCACCAGTCTTACCATGGAACCATGGACACAGTGTCCCTCACAGGGACTATTCCACTGCAGATGCTCTTGGAAATCGGCCTGGACAAACTGAAAAAAGATTACATCAGTTTTTTCATAGGTAATGTGCCAGCAAATTCAGTCTTTCATGAGGACCTTTCTTAGAAAGGAATGGAAAATTCCTAAACCTTATTTGAATACATGCATTTTTCTTTCTAGGTCAGGAACTTGCATCGTTGAATCATTTGGTGAGTTCATTTTTCTTCTAAAATTGGTTTTTCTTCCATCCAGTCTTTTCTTTTTTTCTTAACTGTGCTAGTCCTAGGGCTTGAACTCAAGGCCTGGGCACTGTCCCTGAGCTTTTTTGTTTTGTTTCGTTTTGTTTTTGTGTTGTTGGCTGTGGGGGCTGAACTCTGGGCTTGGGCACTGTCCATCAGCTCTTCAGCTCAAGGCTAGCGCCCTATCACTTGAGCCACAGCACCACTTCGGCCTTTTTCTGCATATGTGGTGCTGAGGAATAGAACCCAGGGCCTCATGCATGCGAGGCAAGCACTTTACCACTGAGCCAACTTCCCAGCCCTCCCTGAGCTTTTTTATTCCAGGCTAGTGCTCTACCACTTGAGCTACACTTCCACTTCCATAGTTATGGTGGTTAATTGGAGATTTGGTGGTTAACTGGAGAGTTTTATAGACCTTCTTATTTGGGCTGGCTTTGAAGTGTGATCCTCTGATCTCAGCCTCCTGAGTAGCTAGGATTACAAGTGTGTAAGCCACCAGCACTTGGCTATCAGGTCATTTTGTGTAGTTATTAATGCCTATAATGTGCCAGCATCTGTCTGGGATCCTATAAAACATCAGTGAAACAAATGATTCCCTAAGACAGATGAAATAAATAATTTATTCAGTGTCATTTCTCATTCTCTATAAATTCATCATGCTGATACATAGTTGTGTACTGTTTACACTAATGTGCTACACAAGTCTTACTTCTAGAGAGCTGAGGGAGTGCCCTTAACCCTACAAAAAAATGTTGTCACCCCTTCTCTTGACCCATTTGTAGTTCACTTGAAGGATTGTTTTCCAATGAATTTATGATGTTCTTTAATGTACTGACCCCAGGACCAGTCTCAGGTCCCGAGGGCTGCTCTCGGCTGTTACCCTGTGGCCTTCTCTCCTCAGTGTGGAAGTTTGTTCCCTGAGAAAAAGCAGAGAGCATCTCTAATGCTCCACTGCCTTCTGAGGGGCTCACCTGCCGGGTCATTCCACAGACCAGGAGGTAACTCCTATCTGATTATCTTAAGGTCAGTCAGTAAAATCCCATTATGTTTACAGATTCTGGACTCACTCGAGGAGAAGGGATTGTCAAAGTTTGTACTCCAGGAAACCAGTCACAGTCAGTGGTAGCCATTATCAAATTCATCTGCTCATTTTTATTGTGCCACATTCCCAGCTTCTATCTTACTTTTTTTTTTTTGGGTCCGGTCGTGGGGCCTGAACTCTGGGCCTGGGTGCTGTCCCTCAGCTCTTTTAGCTCAAGGCTAGCGCTCTACCACTTGAGCCACAGCGCCACTTCCGGCTTTTTTCTTTTTGCTTATGCGGTGCTGGGGAATCGAACCCAGGGCCTCATGCATGCAAGGCAAGCGCCCTACCACTGAGCTACCTCCCCAGTCCTCTATCTTATTTTTAAGGCATCAAGTCAGTAAGTCTATAAAGGTTGAGAGCTGTCTTGGGACTTGTCATTTATTCCATCTGAAGAGTATAGGATGGGTATATTGGCTTATCCCTTTAGGCCCTTGCGATGCCTTTATTAGAGAATAGGTATAATTATTTGCTTAGAACATTCTCACTGAAAATTTTACATCTAGATGAGTTTAATTTTTTTTTTTTTTTTTTTGGTCAGTTGCGGGGCTTGAACTCTGGGCCTGGGCGCTGTCCCTCAGCTCTTCAGCTCAAGGCGAGCGCTCTACCACTTGAGCTACAGTGCCACTTCCGGTTTTCTGGTGGTTTATTGGAGATAGGAGTCTCACGGTCTCTCCTGCCCGGACTGGCTTTGAACCACGATCCTCAGATCTCAGCCTCCTGAGTAGCTAGGATTACAGGCGTGAGCCACCAGCGCCCGGCTCGAGTTTAATTTTTTTAAATTGTTTCTTTTCTTTTTCTTTTTTTTTTAAGTGGTGCTGGGGTTTGAACTCAGGCTCTTGAACTTGTAGCAAGGGCTATACTTCCAGCCCATGTATACTTTGGTTTTAAAAATTAGTAGTGATCTGGGTGCCAGTGACTCACGCCTGTAATCCTAGCCACTCAGGAGGCTGACATCTAACGATTGTAGTTCAAAGTTAGCCAGAGCAGGAAAGTCCATGAGACTCCTATCTCCAGTTAACCACCAGAAAACCAGAAGTGGCACTGTGGCTTAAGAAGTAAAGCACTAGCTAGCCTTGAGCTGAAGAGCTGAGGAACACATCCAGGCACAGAGTTCAATGCCCACGACTGACCAAAAAAAAAAAAGTAGTGAAAGGTAGATTCTATCTAGCTGTCTCCTCCTCCTAATATGTGTTCAAACTTAGACATGCTGGCATAGTCATACCCTTTCCAAAGTTTCTGCTTATTCTTCAACTCCCTGTTTTCTCTACTTTTTATTCCAGGAATACTTCATTTCCCCATCAGTGGATACCCAGGAACAGATTCACCGTGTGCAAAAACTCCACCATATTTTAGGAATTCTAGTCAGTTGCATGCAGTTCATTAAGTCTCAGCATGAGCTCCTCTTTTCTTTAACTCAGTAAGTATGTCTCTGTTGTTCACTCACATGGAAATATATTGTACTCCAAGAAATTGAAGCCAAAATAGGTGCAGTTTTGATTGCCAGTTAGGCTAGGACCTGTTCACCCTGCCTTAATAGTGTGGGGTTGGGTCAATGTCATAGGAAGGGCAGGCTTTGGATTTACTTTGCCTTTGCTTCTATAACTTCCCAACTTCCTTCAGAAGTTTCCCCTCTATCTTGTTTCCTCATCTGTGAAATGGATCTAATTAGGCTCTGTATTCTTTCTTTTTTTTTTGTCGGTTGTAGGGCTTGAACTCTGGGCCTGGGCGCTGTCCCTGAGCCCTTCAGCTCAAGGCTAGTGCTCTACACTTGAGCCACAGAGCCACTTCCGGTTTTTTCTGGTGGTTAAATGGAGATAAGAGTCTCAGGGACTTTCCTTGCCCAGGCTGGCTTTGACCGTGATCCTCAGATCTCAGCCTCCTGAGAGCTAGGATTACAGGCATGAGCCACCAGCGCCCGACTACTCCTGTATTCTTGAAGGATTAAATGAGGTATTGTATATGAGGTACCTGATACTGAATAGGTAGTTAATAAATACTATTTTTTTTTCTTTTCACATCCTTATGAGTCAGACTGATCGCTGCTAGCCATTTATATAATAACAAAAATTAAGTGCAAAGCCAGACACTGGCTATACTCCTAGCTACTTAGGAAGCTAAGATCTGAGGATCATGGTTCAAAGCTAGCCCGGGCAAGAAAGTTCGAGAGCTTCTTATCTCCAGTTAACCACCAGAAAACCGGAAGTGGCACTGTCATTCATAGTAGAACCCTAGCTTTTAGCAAAAAGAGCTCAGGGACAACACTTAGGCCCTGAATTCAAGCCCCACCACCACCAACAAAAAAAAAAACAAGTCATGTGGTATCCTTACATCTCTATGAGCAATATTGCTGAAATTAGAGATTCTGATGAGTTTGACTAAAGACAGTATGGAATAATCTTCATATGTGGATTGCTAGGTTCTTAGGTATCTTTGAGGCTTAAAAATCTAGAAATAAATGAGCCATTGCCTATTCTAAACTTAGAATTTCCTTGGGCTGGGAAGGTGGCTCAGTGGTAGAGCACTTGCCTTGCATGCATGAGGCCCTGGGTTTGATTCCTCAGCACCACATAAGCAAAAAAAAAAACCCAGAAGTGCCGCTGTGGCTCAAGTGGTAGAGTGCTAGCCTTGAGCTGAAGAGCTGAGGGACAGCGCCCAGGCCCAGAGTTCAGGCCCCATGACTGGACCCAAAAATAAAAAATAAATAAAATAAACTTAGAATTTCCTTTAATTATAAAGAAGGAAGTTTGTAATTGTTATTGTTTACAGACCCAACAGGGTTTTTTGTGTTGTTTTTTTTTTCATTACATATCAGAAATATAGGGCTGAGGATGTAGATCATGGTAGAGTACTTGCCTAACATGTGGGAGGCCCTGGGTTCAATCCCTAGCACTGCAAAATAGCACTATCGGGCTGGGAAGGTGGCTTAGTGGTAGAGCGCTTGCCTTGCATGCATGAGCCCTGGGTTCGATTCCTCAGCAGAAATAGCCAGAAGTGCCGCTGTGGCTCAAGTGGTAGAGCGCTAACCTTGAGCTAAAGAGCTGAGGGACAGCACCCAGCCTAGAGTTCAGGTTCCACAACTGACAAAAAAGAAAAAAGTAGCACTGTCAATGAGTTAACTTTGTGTGTGTGTGCGGGGGCAGGGGGGGGGGGGGGATTGTGGGATTTGAACTCAGGGCCTGGGCTCTGTCCCTAAGCTCTTTTGCTCAAAGCTAGTGCTTTACCACTTTGAACCCCAGATCCACTTCTGGTTTTCTGGTGGTTAATTGGAGATAAGAGTCTCCCAGGCCCAGAGTTCAAGCTCCACAACTGACAAAATAAAAAGAGTCTTATGAGCTTTCTGGACTGGGTTGGCTTTGAACCATAATCAGATCTTAGCCTCCTGAATAGGGTCACAGGCATGAATCACTAGCACCTGGCAATATAAGTTAACTTTTAGATAGATAGATAGATATTTTTCTTTTTTTGGGGGGGGGGGTTCAGTCATGGGGCCTGAACTCTAGGTCTGGGCACTGTCCCTCAGCTCTTCAGCTCAAGGCTAGCACTCTACCACTTGAGCCACACTCGCCACTTCTGGCTTTTTTTCTTTTTGCTTATGTGGTGCTAAGGAATCGAACCCAGGGCCTCATGCATGCAAGGCAAGCGCTCTACCACTGAGCCACCTTCCCAGCCCCAGATAGATATTTTTCTACTGTTAATGTTCAAAAAAGTGAATGAGATTTACTTTCCAAGAGAGAACCCTAGGTTTTGTTTTTGTTTGGGAAGTGCTTTGTTCTTTGCTTCTGTGGCTCTGGAATCGTTTCTTGTTGACATTATATTTAGTGGTACTCAATACAGTTTTTCCTTATGAGCTTTAGACTAGAAAGTCCATATTGGCTTTTTTTTTTCTAAGAGGATTTTATTTGTTTTAGATCCTGCATAAGGTATTATAAGCAAAATCCTCTGGATGAGCAACACATTTTTCAGCTGCCAGTCAGACCAGCTGCAGTAAAAAATTTGTATCAAAGGTAAGCAGTTTAATTGTTAGACCTAAACTCCAGCCCTGATTCTTAGCAGTCTTGGCATCCATGCTCTAGGAGAGCTTATGATGAGTGCCCTTTCATGTTTGAATAGTTTGACCGAAGTCTGATGGTTCACCCCTTCCTCTAGACTTTGCATCTTCTCTCTTAGACTTTCTTTTTTTTTTTTGTCCATCGTGGAGCCTGAACTGTGGACCTGGGCGCTGTCCCTCAGCTCTTCAGCTCAAGGTTAGCACTCTACCTCTTGAGCCACAGCACCACCTCCAGCTTTTTCTGCTTATGTGATGTTGAGGAATCGAACCCAGGGCCTCATGCATGCGAGGCAAGCACTCTACCACTGAGCTACCTTCCCAGCCCCTTTCTTAGACTCTTAAGCTTCTAGTCTTTCCTTTGTCTCTCCATTTGCATCTTTCATGGAATAGAGGAGAAATGACTGGGAGAAAAGTAATCAGTATTAGGACAACAAAGTCTAGGGAATGGCTGTGAAAGAAGAATTTAGGGGTTGGTAAGGGGGACCTAAGGCGATAGATTGGTCATCCACTCAGACGCTGAAGTTTCATTCATGACACTTTTACACTTGAACCACAGCTCCACTTTTTTTTTTTTTTTTTTTTTGCTAGTTAATTGGAGATAAATGTCTCACAGACTTCCTGTCCTGGCTGGCTTTGAACTACTATCCTCAGCTCTCAGCCTCCTCAGCAGCCAGGATTACAGGTGTGAGCCATTGGCACCTGGCTTGGTCTATGGCTTTCTTGAACCTGTTTTTTGTTTCTCTTTTGCTGGTATTAGGGATTGGACTCAGGACCTTGTACTGTCTAGGCAAGTGTTACATCACTTGAACCACATCCCAGCCCTGCATCTCTTTTTTCCCTTAGTTTCTAAGATGTAGAATTCTGCCCTAATTTTGTGTGTGTGTGTGAAAATACCGTACAGAGGGGTTACAATTACATGGGCAAGATAATGAATACATTTCTTTTTTTTTTTTTTTTGGTCTGGTCCTGGGGCCTGAACTCTGGGCCTGGCCGCTGTCCCTCAGCTCTTCAGATCAAGGCTAGCGCTCTACCACTTGAGCCACAGCACCACTTCCAGCTTTTTTCTTTTTGCTTATGTGGTGCTGAGGAATCAAACCCAGGGCCTCAGGCATGCAAGGCAAGCGCTGTACCACTGAGCCACCTTCCCAGCCCCAATGAGTACATTTCTTATCAAGCATTGTTGCCTCCTCCTTTGTTTCCCCTTCCCATCTCCCCCTTTCCCCCAATTCCCCCTCCCCCTTCCTCTGCCCTTATTTTATTTCATCGTCTCATCTCTAAGACTTCACTAAAACTACAGAAGGAAGAAAGGAAATAACTGTTGGTTGTGCTGTTGTTTTAATTTTTTTCTTTTGCTATTTTTTTTTCCTTAGTGAGAAGCCACAGAAATGGAGAGTGGAAATCAGTAGTGGTCAAAAGAAGATTAAAACAGCTTGGCAGCTGAGTGAGAGCGCACCTGTAGAGCACCTGAGTTTTCACAAACCTGGTTAGTAATCTGTCCTGATGAGTCATTCCAACAGAACAGAAACTTCATTCCATTGCAAGGGGTTATTCGTACAGCTTTTGCATCCAGTTATAAGTCAATTTCCCTGCATGCAGATATGAAGCATTTTTAGAAGAGGTATGCCTTCTGTGCCAGTGTAATGCTTAGAAAGATTCAAGTTATTATCTTTGGCAGAGGAACAAATTTTATTGAATGTGGGCAAGCAGTGGGAGCATGGGTGTAAGAAGTGGGTTGAAAAGTGTGACGTGTCACTTGTATTATATTTTCCACCATGCACTGTTCAAAAGCAAGTAATAGCGGGGCGCCGGTGGCTCACGCCTGTAATCCTAGCTATTCAGGAGCCTGAGATCTGAGGATGGCAGTTCAAAGCCAGCCCAGGCTGGAAAGTTGAGACTCTTATCTCCAATTAACCACCAGAAAACCAGAAGTGGCGCTGTGGCTCAATTGGTGGAGCGCTTGCCTTGAGCTGAAGAGCTGAGGGACAGTGCCCAGGCCCAGAGTTCAAGCCCCATGACTAACAGCAAAAAAAAATCATAGGGCTGGGAAGGGGGCTCAGTGATAAAATGCTTACCTTGCATGCATGAGGCCTTGGGTTCGATTCCTCAGCACACAGAAGCAGAAAAAGCTGGAAGTGGCGCTGTGGCTCAAGTGGTAGAGCGCTAGCCTTGAGCTCAAGAGCTGAGGGATAGTGCCCAGGCCCCACAACCGACAAAAACATATATATATATAGAGAGAGAGAGAGAGAGAGCCAGGTGCCAGTGGCCCACACCTGTAATCCTAATTACTCAAGGGCTGGGAAGGTGGCTCAGTGGTAGAGCGCTTGCCTTGCATGCCTGAGGCCCTGGGTTCAATTCCTCAGCACCACATAAGCAAAAAGAATAAAGCCGGAAGTGGCGCTGTGGCTCAAGTATTAGAGTGCTAGCCTTGAGCTGAAGAGCTGAGGGACAGTGCCCAGACCCAGAGTTCAGGCCCCACAACCAGACCCAAAAAAAAAAAATCCTAATTACTCAAGAGGTTGAGATCTGAGGAACATGGTTGGATTCCAGCCTACGTAGAAAAGCCAGAAATGGAGCTATGGCACAAGTGGTAGAAGACTAAAGCTCAGGAACAGAGCACAGGCCCTAATTTCAAGTCCCAGGGCTGGCACACATGTACACACACAATAAATCAACCATAGAAAAAAACTATATGGCAAAAAATGCCAGAATCAAATGAACCAACAATAAACCAAGACAATAAACTTATAGTTCATGTTCAGAAAAGGGAATAAATTCCCTAGTCTATAAAAAGAAAAAAATTAGAAATTCAAATGTCATCTTAAAAATAAAAGTACTTGAGGGGCTGAGAAGGTGGCTCAGTGGTAGAGTGCTTGCCTTGCATGCATGAGGCCCTGGGTTCGATTCCTCAGCACCTCATAGCAGAAAAAGCCGGAAGTGGCCCTGTGGCTCAAGTGGTAGAGCAGTAGCCTTGAGCTGAAGAGCTGAGGGACAGTGTTCAGGCCCAGAGTTCAGGCCCCACAACTGACAAAAAATAAGTACTTGAGCCAGGAATTGGAGACCTTGCTTCCTCCCCTACTACTGTCTACTCTTAGAGGTGTTCAATCCCACCCATACAAAGAAAAAGGCAAACTTCTGTCTACCAAGTAGCAGAGATCAAGAAGTGGGGTGTCAGGGCTGGGGACTCAGTGTTGGAGTGCTTGCCTAACATACCATGCAGCCCTGGGTTTGATCTTCAGCACCACAAAAAAATATGCCCAAAAATTTCATGGCACTGTGCTGGCAAGAATGTGGGGCAGCTAGTTACGTGCACACATTGCCAGTTCAAGTGTGAAACTGTACAGCCTCTGGGGGGCGCTGTCTACCAGAATCAGGAAAGAACTCATTTTTTAACCTAGCATTTCATTAATAGGAATTTATTCTACACATAACCAGATAGGTCCAAAGAATCCTATGAACAAGGTTATTGGTTACAGTATCAGTTACTGTAGCCAAACAGACATTTAAAAAAAGTCTGGAACCAAACTTTAGTCTTGAGGTGTGGAATAGTTAAGGCAGAGATTCTCAGTATTAATTGAATAGTAGAGTCATCCAGGAGCTTGTAAAGTTTTATTGCAGCTCGGCAAAGTGCCTCACATCTGTAATCCCAGTATTTGGGAAGCTGCGGGCAGGAGGATCACAGTTGAAGGCCAGCCCAGGCAGAAATAAGAAGTTAACAAGACACACATCCCCCACACCCCAACCCCACAATTCTCATGTAGGAAGCCAGGCATGGTGGCTCACAACTGTGTGGCTTCAGCTACTCCCAGTCATGGACTGGAGGATTGTGGTAGGGTTACCATCTGAGGCCAGCCCAAGGCAAAAATGTAAAACCCAGGCTGGGAAGGTGGTTCAGTGGTAGAGCGCTTGCCTTGCATGCCTGAGGCCCTGGGTTTGATTCCTCAGCACCACATAAGCAGAAAAAGCCAGAAGTGGCGCTGTGGCTCAAGTGGTAGAGTGCTAGCCTTGAGCTGAAGAGCACCTAGGCCCAGAGTTCAGGCCTCCTGACCAACAAAAAAACAAAAGCTTAAAACCCTATTCAAAGAATAACTGAAAGCCAAGAAAAAGGCTAAGGGCATGGGGCTTAAGTGGTAAAACACTGCCTATCAAGCTAAGGCCCTGAGTTCAAGTCCCAGTACTGCCAAATGGAAGGCAGGAGATATAGCTCAATGGTAGAGCATTTGCCAAGAACGTACCAAGCTCTGGGTTTGATCTCTGGCACTGAAAAACAACCAAGTTCTATTGCCCCTGCCAGGAAATTAGGGCTTTCTGGGCTAGAACTAGACATGGCAGCCATTCATAAAGTCCTCTAGGTGGCTCTGTATGCAACTGTAGTTGAAAACCACTGAAATTTTATCTGTACTTGCTGGCTCCATTTGTTAAGGAAACGTGTATTACTTTATGTTTTTTTTAATGCTTTAAAGATAAGTGTGATACAGTTTTGCAAAGTGCTATGTTATTTCATAACAGGGAGAATAAATGCGACTGGGGCATAACTAGAGGCATTGTGTCTGCCTATGCCATTCATTGAGCTGAATTAACCCCCAGCACTGGGAAATTAATGAATCTCTTAAGAGGGAATGCTTATAAGCTGAGACACCCTTTCCTAATCTTTTTGACATGTTGCTCAAAAAAAAAATTATTTTTTAAACGTTAAAACAACTTTGCTTGACAGGCTCATCTTTGTGCTTTTCTGGTATAGCTGGGGTGACAGGCATGTGCCACTATGCTCAGTTGTTTTTAACTAGCTGAGTGAGGAGTTTCATGAAGTTTTTGCTCAGATCATGATCCTTTTGATCTGAGACTCCTAAGTAGCTGGATTATAGCATGGGCCATCACATTCTTCTTTTTTTGGTTGATTGTAGGGCTTGAACTCAGGCGCTGTCCCTGAGCTTTTTCACTCAAGGCTAGCAGTCTACCACTTTGAGTCACAGCTCCACTTGCAGTTTTCTGGTGGTTAATTAGAGGTCAGAGTCTCACAGACTTTCCTGCCAAGCTGGCTTTGAACCACAATCTTCAGATCTTAGCCCCCTGGGTAGCTAGGATCACAGGTGTGAGCCAACAGTGCCTGGTCCATCATATATTCTTCATATTTGTTTAGAAATTATTCAGTGACTTGTCCCAAAACAAGACCCACTCTGGAAGAAAGATCTCATTTGTAAAGGACAGGAGCTGTTCAGACAGACCCAATTGTAAATTTGTAAATATTAAAGCTCATTATTACTTATTTTGTGCCAAAAATATACAGAATTTTAGCTGAGAATGTGAGGACCTGTGTTCAAGCCCCAATACTAGCACAAAATAACAAAAGGAAAAAAATAATTTTTTTTATTTCACTGGACTGAGCAGTTAGGTAAAAAATAAAATAAAATCATTTCTCAAGATGTTTAGTGGTGTCATACTTTAGAGTAAAACAGTTGACATCAAAAGCAGAGTGAGTACCCTAGGGAGAAGCACACTGGGCTGCATTTGGAAGAGTTGTAATTGTAGTTAGTGGGTTGGAAGACAGTGCCCAGTACAGTGCTGCCCCCCAGTGGTTCTTAGCAATAGTGCTGGAGGCAGAAATGTGGAAAGAAAAGGGTTAGACACTTCTGATCTTACTCTTTCTGGTTGCAGATTTTTCAGAACTAACACTCAATGGAAGCCTGGAAGAAAGGACTCCCTTCACTACCATGGTTACCTGCAGCCAGGTGCATTTCAAGTGACTCCCCTATCAGGTATATCTGTGTTTTCTCCAAATACATGGTCCTATGTTAAATTCTTTAATGTTTTAGCTATTTCTAGGTCATAAATGTCAAGTTAACTGTGTGCCAGTGGTTTGTACCTATAATCCTAGCTTCTCAGTAAGGCTGAGATCTGAGGATTGTGATTTGAAGCCAGCCAGGGCAGAAAAGTCCATGAGACTTTTTTTTTGTTGTTGGTTGTGGGGCTTGAACTCTGGGCCTAGGTTCTGTTCCTCAGCTCTTCAGCTCAAGGCTAGTGCTTTACCACTTGAACCACTTTCACTTCCGGTTTTCTGTTGGTTTATTGGAGATAAGGGATTCATAGACTTTCCTGCCCAGGCTGGCTTTGAACTGTGATCCTCAAATCTCAGCCTCCTGAGTAGCTGGTATTACAGGCATGAGCCACCAGGGCATGGCCCCATGAGACTCTTTTATTTTTTTTATCTTTTTTTAATTTTTTATCAGTCGTGGAGCCTGAACTCTGGGCCTGGGCACTGTCCCTCAGCTCTTCAGCTCAAGGCTAGCACTCTACCACTTGAGCCACAGCGCCACTTTCGGCTTTTTTTTTTCTGCTTATGTGGTGCTGAGGAATCGAACCCAGGGGCTCATGCATGCAAGGCAAGCGCTCTACCACTGAGCCACCTTCCCAGCCCCTCATGAGACTTTTATCTCACTATCTCACAGACCTTTCCACCAGGTTGGCTTTGAACCACGATCCTATGATCACAACTCACTAAGTAAGGGATTACTAGGTGTACACTGGTACCTGGATGTACACTTTTCTTAAAAACAGTTTTACCTCAGCTCGACTGTAGGACTAAGCCCTAGACATAAATGACCTTTTCAAAATATTTTGAATTTGAGAAAGTATAAACAAAAAAATTAATAGGGATTACAGGCTTGAGCCAGCAGCATCTGGCTGCTGACCTGAGCCACGATCCTATTTCTACTTTCTGTCGTAGCTGGGGTGTCAGGTGTACACTACCATGCCTATCTTTTACTGTTGAAGTAAAGTCTCAAACTCTTTACTAGGCTGGCATAGAACTTTAATTCTCCCAGTCTCACCTGGGATAATAGGCATGTACCACCACATATGTCCAGCTGTTGGTTGGGATGGGGCTTTCAATTTCAGCTTCCAAATACAATTACCTAGGATTACAGGTGTGAACCACCAGTGCCCAGCCGTAATGTTTCTTTTCCTTTTTTTTTTTTTGGTGGGCGGGGGGGTCCAGTCTTGGGGCCTTAACTCTGGGCCTGGGCGCTGTCCCTCAGCTCTTCAGCTCAAGGCTAGCGCTCTACCACTTGAGCCACAGCACCACTTCTAGCTTTTTTCTTTTTGCTTATGTGGTGCTGAGGAATTGAACCCAGGCCCTCATGCATGCAAGGCAAGCGCTCTACCACTGAGCCACCTTCCCAGCCCCTAATGTTTATTTTAATAAATTGTTTTTGATAGTCTATAATGCTTCTTTGCACTATCTCACTGGTTAAAGAATAAACTTAGCACAAGTAATTTCTCTCAGTAAAGTGTGTATGCTCACTTACTGGCCTACTAGTAACCCCTTTTCCTGGTTGGCTAATAGTCTACACCGTAGGACAGTGCTGAGATGGTAGCTGTCTATGCCTTAAGCCAATCTTGCTGGACAAATGTACAAATTACAGTCACAGAACTCTACGCTGTGGTCTTATTTTTATAAAATGAAAATCCATGCGTAATATATAGCAGAAATAATAACACTGACTTTTGGAAAAGTGAAATTCCAGATGCTTTTTATTTTATCCATGCTTACTTTTATTTTCTAATTCTTAAATCTCAGCACAAACCAAAAAGAGGGCGGGGCGGGGGGGGGAAAGAAAGGAACAAGTAATTCTCACAGACTGCAAACGGACATATAGGCACCGTTTGGGGGGGGAGGGGGAGGCAATAGGGTGACGTCAGCGGTGGCAGGAGAGGAGGAGCATGAGCAGCAGGGCGGCAGTGAGCACACAGAGGACGCACACCGTGGGAACCACGATCTCCGAAAGCAGGTGCAGGTGGCGGCGCAGGGGCTCTGAAATACAACAACCATCGCAGAGGCTTCCTCCTGCTGCTCCTAACTGCACGGGGACAACTGGACAAATGGCACCAACACGTTTGCCGAACTCAATCACTAGCTATGAAAGGAATCCTGGTAAATTCAACGCCAACCTGAACAGCACTGGGGGCACAGCTCAGAGGTAGAATAAAGGCCTTGGGGTTGATCCCCCGCACCATCACACCAAAACATGTGTAAGTTGCTGAAATAGCTTAGAAAGCATGGAATGCCTACATCTTTCCTTCCACATTACTGTAGTAAAGCAGATGTGTGCCAGTATTTAAGGCGCCTATTAATCGCAGGATAGTAGCTGCCATATTCCATGTACCCGTCATTTCTCTGTGGGCAGGGAGTAGGGTGACAGAATGCTCCTTGGAAAATGGGGCCCCTGATTCAATGCCCACGGTGGGGCTGTCAGCTGGGCTCCTGATTCGCCGACAGCCATGTTCCTGTGCAGTTCCCAGACTCCACAGACATCTGCGTGGTGACTGCATTAAGCTGATTTGGGTTCTGCAGCTGGGGAGGTTGGTGCGTGGTCTGTAAAAGGAACTGGAGTGGAAGGATTTGGTGTCGTACTTTGTACTTGGGATACTACATTAAAGATGGTTTTATTGCAGCAGAAAAAGTATTTTCTCTGACTCGCCCCACTGAGATGCCGGCACCTCCTCACACAGTCACAGCTTGGTTATTCTGCATCTCTGACCTCCTTAATCCCACTTCATAAGAAATGACTTATGAAGGTAGGGCCCTGGTTTTGTTCATTCCTATATCCCTAGGTCTTAAAATAACCCTTAGAAGCAGGGTGCCGGAGATTCACACCTGTAATCCTGGCTACTCAGGAGACAGATATGAAGCTCACAATTCAAGCCAGCTTGGTAAGAAAAGTCCATGAGACTGGTCTCCAATTAACTAACAAAGCCAGAAGTGGAGTTGTGGCTCAAGTGGTAAAGTGCTAGGCTTAAGCACAAAAGGTCAAGGACAGCGCCCAGGCCCTAAGCTCAAGCTCCAGGACTTGAATAAAGAAAATAACCCCTAGATCTCTAGGTGATAGTGACTCTTTTAATAATTACTTGCTAAGGGCAGGGAAAGTGGCTCAGTGGTAGAATGCTTGCCTTGCATGCATAAGGCCCTGGGTTTGATTCCTCAGCACCACATAAGCAGAAAAGCCAAAAGTGGCACTGTGGCTCAAATGATAGAGTGCTAGCCTTAAGCTGAAGAGTTGAGGGACAGCGCCTAGGCCCAGAGCTTAGGCCCCACAACTGACAAAAAAATTAAAAAAATAATAACAATAATAATAATTACTTGCTAAATGAGTGAGTATAAGTGTTCTGACCTTTTCTTCATTCCATACACTGTAATACTTGACTTTGCCCTCTTCCCACAAGCCCACTTCAATAAAAATGATAGGTAGCCAGACGCCAGTAGCTCACACCTGTAATCCTAGCTACTCAGGAGGCTGAGATCTGAGGATCGCGGTTCAAAGCCAGCCTGGGCAGGAAAGTCCACGATACACATCTCCAATAAACCACCAGAAAATCAGAGGTGGTGCTGTAACTCAAGTGGTAGAGCACTAGCCATGAGCTAAAGAGCTCAGGGGCAGTACCCAGACCCAGAGTTCAAGCCCCATGACTGACAAAAAAAAGGTATACCAATTTACAGTATAATTCAAAAAGTAAAAATAGACTGGTTGAAATATTTATCTTGGACTGGGTGCTGGTGGCTCACCTCTATAATCCTAGCTACTCAGGAGATTGAGATCTAGGGATTGCAGTTGGAAGTCAGTTTTGTCATCCTGAGCAGGAAAGTGTGAGACACTTATCTCCAATTAATCACAGAAAAAGCCAGAAGTGACACTGTGGCTCAAGTGATAGAACTCTAGCCTTGAGCAAAAGGAGCTCAGGGATAGTGCCCTCGGACTGGCCAAAAAAAAAAAATTATACTGGGGGCTGGGAAGGTGGCTCAGTGGTAGAGCGCTTGCCTTGCATGCATGAGGCCCTGGGTTCAATTCCTCAGCACTACATAAGCAGAAAAAAAAAAAGCCAGAAGAGGCGCTGTGGCTCAAGTGGTAGAGCGCTAGCCTTGAGCTGAAGAGCTGAGGGACAGCGCCCAGGCCCAGAGTTCAGGCCCTATGACCGGACCCAAAAAAAAAAATTATAGATTTATTTATTGTCTTGGGTCTTGTTGGCTTTGAGACAGGGTCTTACTATCTAGCCCAGGCTGTCTTCCAGCTCACAATTTGCCTCAGCTTCCTGAGTGTATGTGTGTTCCAGACCTGGAGCTGCACTCAGTGCCTGGGTCCTGTCTCTGTTTTTTGTTTTTGGTTGCTCATGGGGCTTGAACTGTGGTCCTGGGTGCTGTTCCTCAGATCTTCAGCTCAAGGCTAGTGCTCTACCACTTGAGCCATAGCACTGCTTCCAGTTTTCTGGTGGTTTACTGGAGATAAGTGTCTCATGGACTTTTCCTGCCTGGGCTGGCTTTGAACCTCGATCCTCAGATCTCAGCCTCCTGAGTAGCTAGTATTACAGGTGTGAGCCACCAGCGCCCAACTGTCTCTAATAAGATTTTTTGGCTAAAAGGATAGCTAGTCTACCACTTGAGCCACAGTGCCACTTCTGGCTTTTTCTGTGATTAATTGGAAATAAAAGTCTGCAATTTACCAGCAAAAAGCCAGTCTCATCCCAGCACCACAAAAAATAAATGACAGTAAATAAAATGTTTGGAAAACTAAGTTAGACATTTTTTTAAAGTGAAGGGAAAAAAATCCAATTTTAAATAAAAGTGGCTTGGGAAGGTTGACTTTAGATTGGTCTGCATTCTGATCAGGATTTTGGCAATATTATTTATATATATTTCTGCATGGAATTTAATTATCAAAGAAAAGAACTAACATATACTCACCTGTAGCAAGCCTCTGGTTGTTGATAGAGCAAGTTTCCAAGGCTTCAAGGCGCCAACTTTCCACCTAATAAAAACCCACCTAGTAAATAATTTTTACACTAATATTCTGCAATTGAAAATTATTTTTGCAGTAAACATGGGACAAAATTAAACATTTAAATAATCTTCCTGTCATTTAAACGAATTGGTCCATCTTGCTCATTTCTTATGCATGGGGGTAAAGAAGTGAAGGAAGAGTTCTGAAGATCATTCAATATAGTGCCTTTGGAACAACTGAGGCAGTGAGTTCTTCCTGTTCCATCATGGCCTCCAGTCTTTTTTTTTTTTTTAATTAGTCATGGGGCTTGAACTCTGGGCTGGGCGCTGTCCCTCAGCTTTTCAGTTCAAGGTGAGCACTGTATCACTTGAGCCACAGCACCACTTCCGGCTTTTTCTGCTGATGTGGTGTTGAGGAATCGAACCCAGGGCTTCATGCATGCAAGGCAAGCACTCTACCACTAAGCCACCTTCCCAGCCCCTCTCCCTGAGCTTTTTTGTGCGCACAGCCCACGCTCTACCATTGAGTCACAGTTCCACTTCTGGGATTTTGGGCAGTTAATTGGAGATAAGACTTGTCCAGACTTTCCTGCCCAGGCTGGCTTTGAACTGTGGTCCTCAGGTCTCAGTCTTCTGAGTAACTTGAATTACAGGTCTGAACCACTGGCGTCTGGCACATTACTTTTCTGTATGTTGAAGAACATGTAGCGTATGCATGAAGCTGACTTTAGGATTACATTTAACTAGATGTCTCTGTTGACTTAGCCCTGTGCTAACCCAGAGCCTAACACACACCTGTGTACCTCTAGCCATGTCTTCAGGGACTGAATTTTGGATCATGTTACTCCAGTGTAAGCAAATGAGCAAGAGAGGCAGGGGAAACAGGAGACGAGACATACAGCATAAGTCGTCTTGGAGAAAAGAGGAGAGTCCATTGCTCAACCCCGTGTACCTCAGTTCTTATCTCTGGAAATCTAGAAACAATAACATTTGTCCTACCTCTCGAGGATTCGGAAATCCATTGGCCATGATAATTTTCTTGTAGTATTGAACTGAAGCCTTGGGATAGCGAGGCTTATTCCTGATGTTAAATTCAACGTAGTAGAATCCGTATCTATCTGCGTAGCCTCTCTCCCATTCAAACTCATCCAGCAGAGACCAGGAAATGTACCCTTTTATATTAACTCCATCTTTGATAGCTGTAAAAACACATCATCCCATTTTTATTTTTTACTGGTCCTGGGGCTTGAACTCAAGGCCTGGGAGCTGTCTCTAAGCTTCTTTTGCTCAAAGATAGCACTCTACTACTTGAGCCACAGTGCCATTTCTGGCTTTTTCTAAGTAGTTTATTGGAGGTAAGAGTCTCATGCACTCTTCTGCCTGGGCTAGCTCTGAACCATGATCCTCAGATCTCAACCTCCTGAGTAGCTAGGATTATGTAAGCCACCAGCACCTGGCCTAACACAATACTATTTTTCTTAGTAAATAAAATCTGTTAAAAATGGGATGACAGCCAGGCACTGGTGGCTCATACCTGTAATCCTAGCTACTCAGAAGGCTGAGATCTGAGATTCAAGGTTCAAAGCCAGGCAGGAAAGTCTGACTGCCAGGAAACTGGAAGTGGTGCTGTGGCTCCAAGTGGTAGAGTGCTAGCCTTGAATGAAAAAGATCAGGGACAGCGCCCAGGTTCTGAGTTCAACCCCCACAACCAACAACAACAAAAACAGCATTGTGCAGGTGATATTAAACTTCTAGGACTAGGAATGTGGCTTAGTGGTAGAGTGCTTGCCTAGCATGCATGAAGCCCTGGATTCAATTCCTCAGTGCCACATATACAGAAAAAACTGGAATTGGCGCTGTGGCTCAAGTGGTAGAGTGTTAGCCTTGAGTAAAAGACACTCAGGGACAGTGCTCAGGTCCTGAGTTCAAGCTCCAGGACTCGGGAAAAAACAAAACCAAACTTCTATTGTTCTGGTGGAGGGTTTTTGGTGCCAGTACTGGGGTTTGAATTCATGCGTCTTGCCTAGCTTTACACTCAAGGCTAGTGCTCTACCACTTGAGCCACAGCGCCACTTCTGTCTTTTTGTTTTTTGTCTGGTTAAGTGGAGATGAGTCTCTCCGTTCATCACTTGTATGGGCTGGTTTCGAATTGCCATCCTCAGATCTCACCCTCCTGAGAAGCTAGGCTTGTAGGTGTGAGCCACTGGTGCCCTGCTTTAATTTCTGAGATGTCAAAGCAAGTTTTAGTTGCTCATAGGTGCTCTCGAGTTTTGCCTAGACTAAATAGGAGGTGTGGAGGGGAGTAGGTCGCCTCTCACCTTTCAGCATTTCGTTAATGTAGCCTCTGAGGTACTGGATTCTCCACTCATCACACAGCTGAGTGCAATGCGACTGCTGAGGGGCTCCGTTTTCCATCACGTAAATGGGGGGACTGCCATATTGGGTCTGAAAGGGAGCCACAGTAATGAACAGCTTCAAGACTGATGCACAGGTGGGTTTCTGGGCCACAGGCTCACTTGACCACAGAAAGACAGTGCTCCACATTCTAATGAAGTGCACATTGACACACAGTATGTCAGCTTAGAGACGAATGAAACTGGAGGTGTAGAGTTTCTGTGGAAGAATATATTGAGTATCTTTTTCTATAACTTGACCTGGCTGGAGGGGAAATGTACTTCCTGTCTTGTTCTTTTCCATGTGTTTCTATCTCAGGTGAGAAGGGCAAGGAAAAAAACCTAGAGCTAGCCAGGCACCTGAGGCTTGTGCCTAACTACTTAGGAGGCTAAGATCTGAGATGCACTGTTCAAAGCTAGCCTGGATAGAAAAATCTGTGAGACTTTTTTTTTAAACCAATCCTGAAGCTTGAACTCAGGGCCTGGGCACTGTCTTGAGCCTCTCTGGGCTCAAGGCAAATGCTCTACCACTTGAGCCACAGCACCGCTTCCAGCTTTTTCTGTGTATGTGGGACTGAGGAATCAAACCCAGTGCTTCATGTATGCACTCTACCACTTAGCCACATCTCCAGCCCCCTGTGAGACTTATCTCCAATGAAGCTGCAAAAAGCCAAAAGGGGAGCTGTGGCTCAAGTGGTAGAGCACTAGCCTTGAGCAAAAAAAAAAACTCAGGGACAGTGCCCAGGCCTTGAATTGAAGCTCCAGGACTGGCACACAAGAAAAAATTCTAGGGCTGATTGTGCGTGTAGGAATGGTCAGTCTCCTTAGGCCTTGTTATGCTAGGCCTGTGTGTAGTGCCCTCAGAAGCTAGGGTCCAGCATGGGTAGCTGGATTTCATTGTCCCTCAGTGTTCAAATGTAATCACCTGAGTTTAAATACAGGATGTAACTGAGGAGTTAAAAACAGATGTAACTGTCTTTGGCAGCAGGTTGAACCTAGGGCCTTGTGTATACCACACCATGCCCTCCCAGCCTTGTGATTTACTGTGTGTGTGTGCGTGTGTGCACGTGTGTGTGTACGCGTGTGTGCGTGCGTGCACATACATGTCTATACTAGGGTTTGAATTCAGGGCCAGGGAACTATCCTTTTGCTTTTTTGATCAAGACTGGTACTCTACCATTTGAGCTACAGCTCTGCTTCCAGCTTTTTTTTTTTTTTTTTTGGGGGGGGGGTCCGGTCGTGGGGACTGAACTCTGGGCCTGGGTGCTGTCCCTCAGCTCTTCAGCTCAAGGCTAGCGCTCTACCACTTGAGCCACAGTGCCACTTCCGGCTTTTTCCTTATGGGGTGCTGAGGAATTGAACCCAGGGCCTCGAGCATGCAAGGCAAGCACTCTACCACTGAGCCACCTTCCCAGCCCCCCACTTCCAGCTTTCTGCTGACTATTTAGAGATGAGTCTCATGGGCTTTCCTGCTCTGGCTGGCTTCACATTGTCTCCTTATGTAGTTTAGGGTGACAGGCCTGAACCACCAGCATGTAGCTCTATTTTGTTTTTGAGATAGAGTCTCCCTAACTGTTCCCAGGTTGGCCTCAAACACTCAGTCTTCTTGCCTTCATCTTGAGGAGCCAGGATTATAGATTGTGGTGCTGTGACACTGCCAGGCTAGGTAGGTAGGTAGGTAGGTTAGCATGCTACGCACCTGAGCAAAGTTCAGGAGCCTCCTAAATCCCCAGGGCACAGAATAGAGCCATTTGGACCCCAGATCTGGCCAGGTGGGGTCAACAAACTCTATTAAGTCACGGTCGTTGTGGTAGCTGGGTCCCTGGCGGGAAGGGAAGTGCCTTTCCGTGATGTATCTTGTTGTAAAGTGACCCAGTCCCAGGAAGTCAGCTGTGCCTTTCATGTAGCTCTTCTCCTGGAGGGAGAACTCGGGCAGCCGGGACATCTCCAGCCCTTGCTCTGCGCTCTTCCTTCCTGACCAGAGGCAAGAGGGACATTGGAGGGTTGTTTGTTTGTTTTTCTCAGAAATCACTTATTGTTATATTCTGTGACGAAACTACCACATTGACATAAAATATTTTCCTTGTTCTTCAAGACAGATAACATAATAGGTGCTGGTGGCTCACTCCTAGAATCCTAACTTCTCAGGAAGCTGAGATCTAAGGATCACAGTTGAAAGCCAACTTAGGCGAGGAAAGTCCATGAGACTCTTCTCGCCGATCAACTACTAAAAAGCCAGAAATAGAACTGTGCTCAAGTGGTAGAACGCTAGCCTTGATATAAAAGGCTCAGGGGTAGTGCCAGGACTGGCACCAAAAAAAGGGGGTGGGGGGGAAGGACTTGAATAGACATTTCTCCAAAGATACACATAAGCAATGAGCACATGAAAAGATACTTGAAGTCACTATTCATTAGAAAATACAAACCAAAGCTACAATGAGACGCCACCTACACCTACCAGGACAGCTACTGTCAAAAAAGCAAAATCCTATTTGCAAATCCATGTTCATCGCTGCAATATTCACAATAGCAATATTCCACAATGGCTGTGGAAGCAGCCCAGATGCCCTACACTGGATGAGTAGATCTGAAAAATGTATCTATACACAGTGGAATTTTACACAGCCATTAGAAAGAATAATATTACATAATTTGCAGGGAAATGGATGGACCTAGAACAAATCATGTTAAGTGAGGTAAGCCAAGCTCAGAGAGACAAACCACACATTTTTTTCTCATTTTCAGAATCTAGATTCAAAATACAACTGGATATGATCTATAGGACGCTAGGCATTCACACCTAGACAAAAGGAGGATACCCTGAGGGGAGGAACCCAAAGGCATAAATCTTCTGAACATTTAAAATACTATTTATCAAAATGAATACTGGGGGCTGGGGATGTGGCTTAGTGGTAGAATGCTTGCCTAGCGTGCATCAAGCCCTGGTTTCGATTCCTCAGTACCACATAACAGAAAAGGCTGGAAGTGGTACAGTGCTGGTCTTGAGCAAAAGAAGCTCAGGGACAGTGCCCACATCCTGAGTTCAAGCCCCAGGACTGGCAAGAAAAGAAAGGAAAGAGCTGGGTGCTGGTAGCTCACACTTGTAATCCTAGCCACTCAGGAGGATTGTGGTTCAAAAAAAGCTCAAGGGACAGTGCCCAAGCCCCAGGACTGGCAAGAAAAAAAAGAATTTCAGGACTGGGCACTAGTGGCTCATGCCTGTACTCCTAGCTATTCTGATGAATTTTGATGATCTCTATTCAAAGCCAGCTGGGCAGGAGCCCGTGAGGCTCTTATCTCCAATTAACTGGAAGTGGAGCTTGTGGTTCAAAGTGGTAGAGTGCTAGCCTTGAGCGAAAGAGCTCAGGGACAGCACCTAGGCTCTGAATTCAAGCCCCAGGACTGACAAAAAAAAATTCCAAGAAATGGAAACAGTTTTTTTTGTTGTTACTGTTGGTGGTAGTGGTGTTTTTGCTTTTTTTTTTTTTTCTTCTTTTTAGGGGAGGCAATAGGACACAGAAATGGAGAGAGGAAGAGTAAACAAATTCAGTCAGGATTTTCAGCATATACTATGCAGAAAATGAACTATGTAACTTGTGGACAGGGCTGGGTGAGGGAAAGCAAAGGAAGGGGTGACAATGTCCAAAAAGAAGTATACTCATTACCCGACTTATGCTAACTCTTCTGTACAACACCTGAATAATAATAAAATTATATATATTTTAAAAATATTTGGGTACAGTGGCTCATGCCTGTAATCCTAGCTACTTAGGAGGCTGAGATCTGGGGATTGCAGTTCAAAGCCAGCCAGGACAGGAAAGGCCCTGAAACTCTTATCTCAAATTAACCACCAGAAAACCAGAAGTAGTGCTGTGGCTCAAGTGGTAGAGCACTAGCCTTGAGCTGAAGAGTGCAGGGACAGCACCCAAGCCCAGAGTTCAAGTCCCACGACTGACCCAAAAGCTCAGAGACAGTGCCCAGGTCCTGAGTTCAAACCCCAGGGCCAACATAAAAGGAAAAAATAGCTAAGTAAGGTCATCCCAGTGGTGAGGACAGGCACTGGTGGCTTATGCCTAAAATCCTAGCTACTTAAGAGGCTGAATGAGCTTTGAGGATTGCAGTCTGAAGCCAGGAAAGTCTAAAGGGCAGGAAAGTCAGTGAGGCTCTTATCTCCAATTAACCAGAAAAAACAAAACAATAAAAACAGTGTAGTAGCTTGGCTTACCAATATGATCCTTCATGACTTGGGGATAATCACCCGCATAAATGGGGTTGGCAAACCAGCCCAGGCAGAATTGTAGGTATCTCTCAGCTGCTTCTAGGTCCTTGAGTCTGTTCATGTCCACAGGCTCCCCCCAGTCACAGGTCAGTGAAATCCCCACCACACCTTGAGAAAGAAAAGGGGGGATGGGTAGGGGGTAACAATGCTCGGTAGGAAATTACTTATTACCTTACTCATGAAACTGTAGGTCCTGAACTCTGGGCCTGGGCACTGTCCCTCAGCTCTTCAGCCCAAGGCTAGTGCTCTACCACTTGAGCCACAGCGCCACTTCACTTCCGGTCTTCTGAGTGGTTTATTGGAGATAGGAGTTTCCTGGACATTCCTGCCCAGGCTGGCTTTGAACCATGATCCTCAGATCTCAGCCTCCTGAGTAGCTAGAATTGCTGCACAGTATCTTTACAATAAAAAATATATTTAAAAGAAAAAGGGGGCTAGGAAGTGGGGTGACATTGCTTCTGGGAGCTTGTATCTATTATCTAAAGTTTGTCAAAGACCAGGATTCAAACTTTTTCCTTTTTTGCTGGTCCTGGGGCTTGAATCCAGAGCCTGGGCAGTGTCCCTGAGCTCCTTTTGCTCAAGGATAGTGCTCTACCACTTGAGCCACAGCACTCACAGTGATTCATTGCATTCTCATGGAATGTCCTGCCCTGGCTGGCTTCCAACTGTAATCCTCATAGCTCCCCCCCTTGAGTAGCTAGGATGACAGATGTGAGCCCACCAGCACCTGACTCAGACTCTTGAACTGATGCTTTCACTCATTGGCTGACAGTCTATCACCTGAGCCTTGCTTCAAAATCAAGCTCTCCCTATGAGGCCTAGGCTGGCCTGGAACCCTCCCCCCTCCCACCTGCAACCCTGAGTACCACATGTCTGCTCCCATGTGCAGTGGGGCTTACCATGCTGCTTGCTGCGCCACGTGGTGTTGTAAGCATGCCAGGCTTGGGCGTGGGCCTGAAAGAGGAGGAGGGATGCATAGCTGGCTGACTCCAGTTCTTTCCCCCTCACCACTGGGATGACCTTACTTAACTATTTTTTTTTCTTTTTTGTTGGCCCTGGGGTTTGAACTCAGGACCTGGGCGCTGTCCCTGAGCTTTTCTGCTCAAGGCTAGATAGAGCTCTACCACTTAAACCTGTCTTTCATAGATAAGAAAGTCTGAAAAGCCACCTGAATTTTTTTTTTGGGGGGGGGGTCCAGTGGTGGGGCCTGAATTCTGGGCCTGGGTGCTGTCCCTCAGCTCTTCAGCTCAAGGCTAGCGCTCTACCACTTGAGCCACAGTGCCACTTCTGGCTTTTTTCTTTTTGCTTATGTGGTGCTGAGGAATTGAACCCAAGGCCTCATGCATGCAAGGCAAGCGCTCTACCACTGAGCCAACTTCCCAGCCCAGCCACCTGCATTATTATAGACATGTTCACAGCTCTACCTTTTAAATATTCCATTTAAGAACTCACAGGGCAGGCTGGGAAGGTGGCTCAGTGGTAGAGCGCTTGCCTTCCATGCATGAGGCCCTGGGTTTGATTCCTCAGCACCATATAAGCAGAAAAAGCCAGAAGTGGCACTGTGGCTCAAGTGGTAGAGTGCTAACCTTGAGCTGAAGAGCTGAGGGACAGTGCCCAGGCCCAGAGTTCAAGCCCCATGACTGACCAAAAAAAAAAAAAAAAAAAAGAATTCACAGGGCTGGGAATGTGGCTTAGTGGTAGAATGCTTGCCTAGAATACATGAAGCCCTGGGTTCTGTTCCTTAGTACCATATAAACAGAAAAGACTGAAGTGGAGCTGTGGCTCAAGTGGTAGAGTGCTAGCCTTGAGCTAAAGAAGCTCAGGGACAGTGCCCAGACCAAGAGTTCAAGCCTCAGGACTGGCGAGAAAACAACAAACAAAAAAAAGGAGCAAAATGTAGAAAGAATGCCATGAGTTTGAGCGTCTGCTGTCCACCAGTGACCTCCCAACCTTAACACATCGCCCACTTTCTGCTAAGTGTCCCTTGGGGCCAATCCCCTTGGGTCTGTGCCCTGAGCCTCAGTCACCATCACTGGCATCCACATCTAGGTCCTATAAATGACCTAATTTCCTCCTGCCACTTAGCTTATGCTTATGACAACTGCTGTCACACAGCCACCTCGTTCTGTGGACAGCCTCATCGCTCATGGAAGATTTCAGCCCTTTCCTCCCATCACTATCCCTCCAACTATGGACCCACAGGTAACACAATGCACAGGTACACAGGAGAATGTGAACCCATTAGACTACTATAATCTGGGCCCCAGTGGCTCATGCCTGGAATCTTTACCACTCAGAAGGCTGAGATCTGGGGATCATAAGTCAAAGCCATGAGCAGGAAAGTCCAGGAGACCCTCATCTCCAATAAGCTAGCAAAAAGCCAGAAATGGAGTTGTGGCTCAAGTGGTAGAGAGCCAGCCTTGAGCAAAACAGCTAAGGGACAGTACCTAAGCCTTGTGTTCAAGCCCCAGTGTGGCATGCACGCGCATACACACACACACACACACTAACACATGTCAGTTATAGTGACGTGAATGCAAGCTGGAGAGGATCCGCAGAGGCTCAGACTCCTGGGGCAGATGCCTCCCTGCCCTGCAGCCCAGCCGCCTCTCCCCGCTCCCTACAAAGATCAATGATCAGGCTCACCTTGAGGATGTGGTGTGCTGCCTTGTACAGGCCGGTGCCGGGCAGCCTCAGGCCTGGAGCGTGGTGGCCCGTCTCGTAGCCCTTCTCCACCATCGCCTATGGGAACAGCAAGTGGGGACCATACCACCAGTGGGAAGGAGCAGAGAGCCCCCTCCCACCCCTGGCTTCCCCACGTGAAGAGGGACCCTGCTTACCCGAGGATCGCTGAAAGTGACCCAGTGCTTCACTCGGTCCCCAAAGGCCTCAAAGCACAGGTTGGCATAGTCGCTGAAGTAGCCGGCCATGCTTACATTCTGCCACCCACCATATTTGACCTGGAGCAGCTGCCAACACAGAGAGAAGCTGGAGCCCCAGGGAGAGACTTTGGAGCTGATGAGGCCTTGAACAATCTGACAGAGGAAGTACTTTCTACAAACCAGACAACACCCAAGTGGGAGACAAGAAGTGGGAGACTTCTGCTTGCAAGGAACCTACCTGCCATTTGGATAGTGAGATCTTCTACTGGGCTCACACCTGTAATCCTAGCTACTCTGAGGCTGAGATTGGAGGATCAGGGTTCAAAGCCAGCCGGGGCAACAAAGTCAGTGAGACTCTTATCGCCAATAAACTACTCAAAAAAGCTGGAAGTGGTGCTGTGGCTCAAGTGGTAGATGCTAGCCTTCAGCAAAAGAAGCCGAGGGACAGTGCCCAGACCCAGAGTTCAAGCCCCAGTTCCCCCCCCCAAAAGAAAATCCTTTAAAAACAAACAAAACAAAAAACAAATGAGAGCCAGATGTCAATGGCTCAAGCCTATAATTCTAAGCTACTCAGGAAGCTGAGATCTGAGGATCATGGTTCCTGAGATTCTTATCTCCAATTAACTACCAAAGAGCCTGAAATGGAAAAAGAAGGAGGGAAGGAAGGAAGGGTAAAGTCTGACTGGGGATTTTGAGGTCCCTATGTAAGTTAGAGAGCCCACCCGTTAGCATTTCCTCAAGGACAAATCTTGGAAACCTGACCTCTGCACAGATGCCTTTAGGTTAGAGTGGGACCCCTACTTTTTTGGAGAGCAGGTGAGTTTGGAGAAGGCTAGGATTGGCGGGCAGCTGGGGACCTCCAATGTGGAGCCCAGGTGACTGGAGATAGGTTTGTGTGTGGGTTGAGCCACCAAGAGGCCTGTAAGCCTGGGCTGCAGGAGGGAGCCAAACTAGCTCTAGGGAGGCTGAGATCTAGAGGATTGAGATTCAAGGCCAGCCTAGCAAGTTGAGTTGCTTTTGCTCAAAGCTAATGCTCTACCATTTCAGGCATACCTCTGCTTCTAGCTTTTGGTAGTTAATTAGAGATGAAGCTCTTGGACTTTCCTGCCCAGGCTAGCTTCAAACCAGGATCCTCAAATCTCAGCTTCTGGAGTAACTAGGATTATAGGCACGAGTCACCGGCATCCAGCTGTTTATTTTTAAGACAGAATCTCACTATAATGCCCAGTCTGGTCTGGAATTTTTGATCCTCTTGCTTTAGATGCCTGAGTGCTGGGATTATAGGCATACCCCAACCAAGCCCTGCTAAAGTTCCATTCTTTACAAGTCATTCAGTCTTCACTCACAGAGCCCAGACCCCCGTCTCTGACCCACCCTGGCCACCGTGTGTCTCCATACCAGGCTTCCGGCTCCCTGCTGAGCCAAGCTTCCCCCGAGCCTGCCTGGCCCTCACCTGCGGCAGGTCCCAGTGGTACAAGGTGACGATGGGGGTGATGTTGCTCTTCAGCAGGGCATCGATCACATTGCTGTAGAACTTGATCCCTTTCTCATTCACCTGCTCAGCTGCAAGCAAAGAAGATGGACTAGAGATGTGGCTTAGTGGTCAAGCACTTGCTTAGCATGCATGAAGCCCTGGGTTCCATTCCTCAGTACTACATACACAGAAAAGGCTGGAAGTGGCTCAAGGGATAGATGCTAGCTTTGAGCAAAACAAGCTCAGGGACAGTGCCCAGGCCTTGAGTCCAAGCCCCAGGACTTGCCAAAAAGGAGAAGGAGGAGGAACAGGAGGAAGAGGAAGAGGAGGAGGAAGAAGAGGAAGAGGAGGAGGAGGAGGAGGAGGAGGAGGAGGAGAACATGACTCTACCAGAAAGGATGTCAGCCTTACCTTCTAGATGCAGCAATCCTGGGCCCTGGGGCTCTTCACAAATTGCCGGGACCCTTGGCCTACCAGCATCATGTGTCTTATAGAGAATCCTTTCTTTCTGAGCTGGTTCTGGGGCTTGAATTCAGGGCCTAGCCTTGCTTTTGCACTCAAAGGCTGGTGCTCTACCACTTGAGCCACAACTCCACTTGTGGCTTTTTGGATAAGGTTCATTGGAGATAAGAGTCTCTCAGATTTTCCCGCTCTGGGCTGGCTTAGAACCCCAATCCTCAGATCTCAGCTTCCTCAGTAGCTCGGATAACAGGCATGAGCCATCTGCTTCCCAGGGGGCCTTTCAGATGCCTGGGAGCTCCATTCCCTGCAGAATCTCCACTCCCAACACTGTGGTGTCCCTGCAGAACCTCCCCGGACTGCCCTGGCTCACCTCGGATGCCGGTGGGCAGGAGCCGGGGCCAAGACAAGGAGAATCGGTAGTGAGTAACTTGAAGCTCCCGAAGCAGAACTATGTCCTCCTGTAGAGACAGGGGCGAAGCCACCAGATTAGCCGGAGGGGAAAGTAGAGGCCACAGAGCCTACAGCCCCACCAAGGCTCTAAGTGGGAGAGGAAAAATCTGCCTCCTCTGTGCGGAATAGGGGTGACAACACCTCCCCCCTGTGGCTGTGCTGTGGGGTGGGGGTGGGGCGCTTAGAACACCCCAGCAGAGCCCAGCCTGGCACCTGTGGCTCACACTTCTAATCCTAGCTACTCAGGAGGCTGAGAGCTGAGGATTGCAATTTGAAGCCAGTCTGAGCAGGAAAGTCTCAGAGACTTATCTCTAAAACCACTAGTGGAGCTAGTGGTTTAAGCCACTTAAGCCAGTAGTGGAGCTGTGGCTTAAGTGGTAGAATGCTAGCTCTGAACAACGAAAAAAAGGCTCAGGGACAGCACCCAAGCTGTGAGTGCAGGCTTTAAGACTAGGGCTGGGAAGGTGGTTCAGTGGTAGAGCGCTTGCCTTGCATGCTTGAGGCCCTGGGTTCGATTCCTCAGCACCACATAAGCAAAAAGAAAAAAGCCGGAAGTGGTGCTATGGCTCAAGTGGTAGAGGGCTAGCCTTGAGATGAAGAGCTGAGGGACAGCGTCCAGACCCAGAGTTCAGGCCCATGACTGGACCCCCCCCCCAAAAAAAAAAAAAAGACTAGAAGAAAAAGAAAGAGAAGGAGGGAGGGAGAGAGGAAGGGAGGAAGGAAGGAAGGAAGAAAGGATAGAAGGAAGGAAGGAAGGAAGGAAGGAAGGAAGGAAGGCCGGCCTAGCAGAGTATTCTAATAAACTTGAGTATGAATCCCCCAAGAAGCCAATCCAAGAAAGGGGCTGCGGAGAAGCTAGTCCCACCCCCTACACAGGGTCACAAGCAAGCCACGGGCAGGGACCAGGCCTTCAGAGAACTCTGACCTCCGTTGCTGGACTCAGGGGAGCCCTGTGTGTCCTCCTCCTCCATCTCAGACTCCTTTGGCCACATTGTGTACAGGATGGGTTTTTGTTGTTTGTTTATTGTGCCCATAGTGGGGCTTGAACTCATGCTATGGCTTGGCTTTTTCCCTCAAGGTTGGCTGTCGACCACTTGAGCCACACCTCCACTTCCAGCTTTCGCCTACTTAACTGGCAACAGGAGTTTTATGGCCTGGGCTGGCTTTGAACCTGGATCCTCCGATCTCAGCCTCCTTGAGTAGCTAGGATTACAGGCGTGAGCCACTCGCACCCAGCTGGTTAGATACAGGGTGTTTGGCATAGCATCAGGTTGCTTGTCAAACAGATTCCCCGACTCTTTGGCAGGCTGGCACACAGCACCCCCCACCCAGCCCCCACTCACCTGAACCTTGTAGTAGCCATCGCAGGCCTCGTCTGCCGTGCTGTCCCCGAGCACCTTCCCTGGCCCGCTGTGCGTGAAGGCGTCCCAGATGCTAGCTCCTTTCCCGTCCTGGTCCCAGGCGCCCTCCATCTGGTAGGCAGAACTGCCCACACCCCAGGAGAAGCCTGGGCCATGGGCCACCTGTCTCACCCAGAGCTGTGCCTCCCCGCTTCAGGGCACCCCCCCCTCCCCCAACTTCCCTGGCTCCCTGGCATTGGGTTCATTGAAAACATTTTTGAGCCAGTGATTCATGTTGAGAATCAAGCTACTTAGGGTTCTAAGATACAGAGGATCGATTGCAAAAAGCTAGGTTGGGGCTGGGAAGGTGGCTCAGTGGTAGAGCGCTTGCCTTGCATGCCTGAGGCCCTGGGTTTGATTCCCCAGCACCACATAAGCAAAAAGAAAAAAAGCCGGAAGTGGCGCTGTGGCTCAAGTGGTAGAGCACTAGCCTTGAGTTGAAGAGCTGAGGGACAGCGCCCAGGCCCAGAGTTCAGGCCCCACGCCGGACCCCCAAAAAAAAAAACAAAACAAAAAGCTAGGTTGGAGGGAGGGAGGAGACTCAAGTGGTAGAATACCAGCCATTGTGAGGCCCTGAGTTCAAACCTAGGTCCTGGCCCCCCTCAAAAATAAAAAAATGGAGACACAATTTTTAGTTCATCTTGCTATTCATTATCTGTATACATTTTAGTAATTAAAAAAAAAATCTTAAACCAGGCACCAGTGGCTCACGCCTGTAATCCTAGCTACTCTGGAGGCTGAGATCTGAGGATCACAGTTCAAAGCCAGCCAGGGCAGGAAAGTCCGTGAGACTCTTATCTTCAATAAACCACTTAGAAAACTGGAAGTGGTGCTGTGGCTTCAGTGGTAGAGCACTTGCCTTGAGCTGAAAAGCTCAGGGACAGCGCCCAGGCCCAGAGTTCAAACCCCATGACTGACTAAAAAACAAAAGAAAGAAATCTAGGACTGGGAATGTGGCTTAGTGGTAGAGTGCTTGCCTAGCATGTATAAATCCTTGGGTTCAAGTCCTCAGTACCACATAAACAGAAAAAGCAGGAGCGGTGCTGTGGCTCAAGAAGTGGTAGAGAACTAGCCTTGAGCAAAAGAAGCTCAGAGACAGTGCCCAGGCTCTGAGTTCAAGTCCCAGGACTGGCAAAAAAAAAAAATCTAGGGGCTGGGGAAGGTAGCTTAGTTGATAGAGCATTTGCTTAGCGTGCATGAAATCTTAGATTCAAACACACACACACACACACACACACACACACACAATGTGTTAGAAACATATTTTACAACAGTTACATGGAGGTATGTGTCTCTTATCAGTCAGGAAGCTAAAAGCACCAAATTCCTTGCCACAGACAATCAGATGGTCAGACAGATAGACATTTGGAGACAGATGAGCAGAAGAATGGACATACCAGGCGGGAAAGTTCCATAGTAGAAGGAGGCATCTTCTGGGGACCTCTTGCTTGTGGCTCCCAGCCCAGGTACCAGCGGGAGCACACACCACAGAGTGAGCACCCACCGTGGCTTCATGGTGCCCAGGCCTCCTCCATACTGGAGAAAAGCACCTGTGCAGGTCACTGGCCAGACTGGGGAGGACACAAGTGAAGGACACTTGATTTGTACCCGCAGATGGGCCCATGTGTACCCCTGGTGGGACACTGAACAGGAGACCAAGCCAGGCCTAGCAAGCACTGGGTTGAATGAGTTAAGGCTCCAAACCAGCCTATCTGCCCAAGCTGGGCTGAAGAGGCAGACCCAGCCCCCACCCTTCCAGCCCCTCCCTCCAGCTCTGCCCCAGGGGAGCTCCAAGTCCAATGCCGACAGGGTGAATTCCTTCCTATTGACCCAGCCCAGGCAGCTCACCCAGGATTGTCCTCAGAGCCCGACACTCCAGATCCCCTGCTCTCCCGGATCCAGTGTGCGCGAGAGCACAGAGAAGGCTCTGGTTGGGGGGTGTGGCCCATGGCCTGATCCTCACAGAGGGGCCTGATGGAGTGCTGAGCTGGCAATGCCGCCTGACTCAGCAATGCCCTTGGCCCTGGGCCCTGGGCCTCCAGCTGCCCCCTCCCAGGGTAGATGGGCAGCAAAGACAGGACAGGGGGCCAGTCCTCTGATCCTTTAGACCTGATCTCCCACCGTCAGCTGGACTGACATCTGCATGGAAATCTCTGTGATTTATTAAAGTAGATTTTCCCACTTCAGCCTCTTCTCTTGGGACTCTTGTTTTTGTCAGTGTCGGGGCTTGAACCCTGGGCCTGCACACTGTCCCTGAGCTCTTCAGCTCAAGGTGAGCACTCTACCACTTGAGCCACAGTGCCACGTACAGTTTTCTGGTGGTTTATTGGAGAGGAGTCTCCTGGCCTTTCCTGTCCGAGTTGGCTTTGAACCATGATCCTCAGATCTCGGCCTCCTGAGTAGCTAGGATTATAGGTGTGAGCCACTGGTGCCTGGCTCTTGGGACTCTTGTATCCATACTTCACTCTGGCCTCCACCCTGTAATTGCCTTTCCTGTAGGCAATCCCTATTCCTGCCCCTGAACTCAGTCCTCACATTCCCTGTTTTACTGTTCTCTTGCTGTGGATCCCTCAACTGGAAGCCTGACCTGTGAACTGGTTAATTCTTCCCTGTGAATCCTACAAGCACCTCCTGCAGCACCTTCAACCAAGTCGGGTGTTTATCTGTCAGACACCCTCCCTTATTCACCCAGTCTCACCATGGTGGCCCAGAAGGCCCTTAGTGGTATAAGATGAAGCCAGGCACCTATGGCTCACACCTTTAACCATAGCGACTCAGAAGGCTGAGATCTGAGGATCACAGTTCAGAGCCAGTTGGCACAGACAAATCTGTAAGACTCTTATCTCCAATAAGCTAGCAAAAACCCAGAAGTAGAGCTGTGTGTGGTTCAAGCAGGAAAGCACCAACCTTGAGTGAAAGAGTTAAGGGATAGTGCCCAAGCCCTCAGTTCAAGTTCCAACACACACACACACACACACACACACACACACACACACACACACACGGTGTGTGTGAATCTAAATGAACCTAAATATCACAATTATTACTGTTAACCTGCTTAGAGATGAGTCTAAATACCACAATGATTACTGTTAACATGCTTAATTTTTTTTTTTAATTTTGTCTTTTTTTTTTTTGGTTGTGGGGTCTGAACTCTGGGCCTGGGCGCTGTCCCTCAGCTCTTCAGCTCAAGGCTAGTGCTCTACTGCTTGAGCCACAGTGCCACTTCTGGCTTTTTCTGCTTATGTGGTGCTGAGGAATCGAACCCAGGGCCTCATGCATGCAAGGTAAGCACTCTACCACTGAGCTACCGTCTCAGTCCAACATGCTTAGTGCTGATTGAATGGGGTTTCTCACAGACGAGGTATCTTCATGGATTGCTTCATTTAGGTTTGTGTGTGTGTGTGTGTGTGTGTGTGTGTGTGTGTGTGTGTGTGCCAGTCTTGGGGCTTGAACTCAGGACCTGAGCATTGTCTCTTAGTCTCTTTGTGTTCACGGCTAGTGCTCTAGCACTTGAACCACAGTGCCACTTCTAGATTTTACTGAGTAGTTTATTAGAGGTAAGAATCTCATAGACTTTCTTGCCTGGGCTGGCTTCAAACTACAATCCTCAGATCTCAGCCTTCCCAGTAGCTAGGATTACAGGTGTCCTGGGGCTTGAACGCAGGGCCTGAGTACTGTCCCTGAGCTTACTTGCTCAAAGCTAGTGCTTTAGCACTTTGAGCTACAGCTCCACTTCTGGCTTTTTGGTGGTTCATTGAAGATAAGAATCTCATGGACTTGGGCTGGGAAGGTGGCTCAGTGGTAGAGCGCTTGCCTTGCATGCCTGAGGCCCTGGGTTTGATTCCTCAGTACCACATAAGCAAAAGAAAAAAGCTGGAAGTGGCGCTGTGGCTCAAGTGGTAGAGTGCTAGTCTTGAGCTGAAGAGCTGAGGGACAGCGCCCAGGCCCAGAGTTCAGGCCCTACAACCGCCCCCCCCCCCAAAAAAAAAAAAAATCTCATAGACTTTTCTGTCACAGCTGGCTTGGAAACTCAGTCCTCAGATCTCAGCCTCCTAGGATTACAAGTGTGAGCACCAATTCCCAGCTGTGTCAGGGCTTTCTTTTTTTTTCTTTTCTGGTCATGGGGCTTGAACTCTAGGCTCTCCATGGTTTATCACAAAAAATAAAATTTAAGCTGGGTGCTGGTGACTTACGCCTGTAATCTTAGCTACTCAAGAGGCTGAGATCTGAGAATTGCGGTTCAAAGTCAGTCTGAGCAAGAAAGTCCGAGAGACTCTTATCTTCAATTAACCACCAGAAAACCGGAAATGGCACTGTGGCTGAAGTGGTAGAACGCTCGCTTTGAGCTGAAGAGCTCTGGCACAGTGCCCAGGCCCAGATTTCAAGCCCCAGGACTGACAATAGATAGATAGATAGATAGATAGATAGATAGATAGATAGATAGATAGATAGATAGATAGATTAAAGGTGTGTGCTGGTGGCTCACGCCTGTAATCCCAGTCACTCAGGAGGGTGAGATCTGAGGATCACAGTTCAAAGCCAGCCTGGGCAGCAAAGTCTGTGTGATTCTTTTTTTTTTTTTTTTTTTTCTGCCAGTTCTTGGGCTTTTACTTAGGGCCTGGGCACTGTCCCTGAGCTTCTTTTGCTCAAAACTAGTGCTCTACCACTTGAGCCACAGCACCACTTCTGGCTTTTTCTGTTTATGTGATACTAGGGAACCAAACTTCGGGTTTTGTGCATGCTAGGCAGGCACCCTACCATTAAACTACATTCCCAGCTCTGTGAGATTATTATGTCCAATTAACCACCAGAAAACTGGAAGTGTCTCTGTGGCTCAAAGTGGTAGAGTGCTAGCCTTGAGCAAAAGAGCTTAGGGACAGTGCCCAGGCCCCAAGTTCAAGCCCCTCGACTGACAAAAAGAAGAGAGAGAGAGAGAGAGAGAGAGAGAGAGAGACTCTAAATAAATAAATAAACAAATAAATAATTTGGACTGAACTAGGGTTTTTTTTACCTTCACACACCTACAGGGAGCCTGTGGGAAGCAGGTGTTTGTCTTCGTTTCTTTGTGTCTTCGTGGGCAGGCGATGGGCTGGGGTTGTGGCACAGGCTGGTCTGACTGCTGGAAGATCTATACAGAGGCACTGTCTTCAAGGGAAGAGCCTAAGACTCCAGAGATGTCAAGAGGAAGCCAGTTTGTGGTGCTGTCCTAAGAAGTAAGGGCTACAGTAGGCCAGGGATGAGCACAGATGTTTCCAGAAGTGATCACTAGGATCCAGAAAATTCCAGCTTCCTTTGTTGTTCACTGATCTCCAGAGTTGGCTTCTCTCACGCATGTGCATGTGTACATGTCTGTGTGGTACGTGTGTGGTGTGTGTTTGCTGGCCCTGGGGCTTGATCTCAGGGCCTGGACACTGTCTCTTAACTTTTAAGCTCAAGACTAGTACTCTACCATTTGAACCACACAGCTCCACTTCTGGCCTTTTGGTGGTTAGTTGGAGATAAGGGTTTCCTAGACTTCCCTGCCTCTGGCTGACTTTGAACTTGGATTTTCAGATCTCAGCCTCTTAAGGAGCTAGGATGACAGACACGGGCCACCAGTGCTTTGTGCATTTTATTTTCATTTTATTTTATTTTTTGCCGGTTGTGGGTCTTGAACTCTGGGTCTGGGCGCTGTCCCTCAGCTCTTCAGCTCAAGGCTAGAGCTCTACCACTTGATCCACAGCGCCACTTCTGCCTTTTTTTCTTTTTGCTTATGTGGTGCTGAGGAATCGAACCCAGGGCCTCAGGCATGCAAGGCAAGTGCTCTACCACTGAGCCACCTTCCCAGCACCGTGCTTTGTGCATTTTAATAGTTACACAGCCTTCTGTGGCAGGTGCTCTACCAGCGCTCATCAGCCCTTGCAGAGACATGTTGGGGGTGATATTTTACTTTCACAAAGACTGTTACAATACACAACCCTGGGGATGTGAATTCCCATCTGTATAGATTTCTACTCCTAAAAGTGGCATGGATGGATTCATTTCCATTTGCACTGAAATTGTCCTTGAGATCTAAAGTCCTTCATCTGAACCGCATCACTGTCACCATGGCATCTTGGCATTGAGACCAGAGCTGTGGAGGTCACAGGCCCAGCTGCCCATGGTTGGGGCAGCTCTAGTTGATCCCTGAAAACAAAACAAAACGAAACACCCCACCCCCAACCCCATCACCATCCCAGAGCATTCCAGTTTAGTGTGTAAACCAGAAACCAGTGTATAAACCAGGCTGGCCTGGTTGCTAGTGGGCCTCAATTTCCAGATGGTTTTCCAACATTCTTTTCCAGTACTGAGCTTGAACTTGGGGCCTCCTGTTTTCTCTCAGGGTCTTCTTTTTTCCCTTCCTTCCCCTTCTTTTCCCTCCCTCCCCCCTCTACTCTCTTTCCTTTCTTTTCTCTCTCTTTTGTTCTGTCTCAGTCCTGGGGCTTGAACTCAGGGCCTGGACAATATCCTTGAGCTTTTTTACTCAAGGCTGG